ATCGCATTTTAACTAAGGCTTATGTGTTATTCTAATAATATTTATTTACTGAAATTATCCCATTAGCGAAATTTTTACAATTAATCTTTGGTGTTACGTTTATGTTGATATCAGTTTACAAGAAAAAATTAATTTCAACATTTCAAAACACGAAAATACAACCTTCTAGAACAAATATTATCCGCAAAAAAGTTTGTGATAAATGCATTATGGACTTGTGAAATACTGGTCTAAACTGAACAAAAGGGGAAAGGAGGATGGAAAGAACTTCGTATGTACTAGTATTTTTGATTGGAAAATTTGATAAACACTTAAGTATTTTGTATGTAAGCACAAAAACATAATTTGATGCATTTTAGAGAGTACATACATTTACAGTGAAAAGTCCCTTAATGGAGCACATCTTGTACTTTTTAGAGGAAATTCGCTTCTCTTGTGCGGACACCTACTCGACCTCGCACATGTTGTCTATGGATGTTTCAAATGCATGCTAAATAATAGTAATAGTAGCAATATTCCTTTTATTTCTATTTATGTCTTTCTATACATGTGATCTATTAGAAGATTTTTATGAAATATTGTTGTTGTTTTTATTTTATTAATAGTAGTGCTTGGACAAATATTGTAAAAACAAATGAAAATAAGCTCAGGATAGCTTGCAAAAGGATCGATATTAAAGTCAGTTTTTTCTATGGTTGAAGCCAAGCACTGCATTTCCGAATGCCATGCATTTACTCAAAAAATTATCTTTAACAGAATCAGAAAAAAATAAGGGTCTAAATTGAAATTTACATAAATTATAGGAGAATGCTTAAGATAAAGAAAGTTAACTAAAATTAATCGCCCAAATAGAATAGTTCAAAAAGAATTACAATAAATGTTTCTGTATCCTCTTAAGCCCACGTTAGCTGTCCGGCCAAGAGAGTTTTCACTGTACACCAATACTCATATCAGAAGTTTTTACGGTGTTAACATAAAGCTTACATTGGCAACACTTTATGATACATTTTGGGGATTCTATGTAATTCATTTGCTTATCTAATCTAGTAATTAAATTAATGGGACAATTGCCAGCTCCAAGTCCAAGCCCCAATGCGCTGAGGGTCAGGAAAAGAGCCATGTTATGTTTAATAGGTAGTTGGTGCGCATTTAATTAAGTTTATAAAATGGAGGTGCCGCGCTCTCTCCTTCGCTCTGCCCAAGCTTTTGAACTTGTCCCAGAAACGTGCGAAAATGTGTTTTTTCAAAATGTGTGCAATTAAAAGGCTTGCGCTTGTTTGGCTGCAAGTTATTGCATATTTCCATAAGACGCGTTTAATAAGAGTACATAATTACGCTGCACCCACAAGTGCCTTGCACCCGCACTCGCCCTCCCCCTCGCCTCCACCCACACACCATCCACCATCCCCTTTTGCACGCACTGGCATACGCAGACGGCGGCGTCGACAGCGGCGTCGACAGCGGCGTCGGCATCGGCGTCGCTTACCATTTTCCTGACACAAATTCCCTTTCAACAAACAAGCTCGAGAGCGCGTCCAAATGGCACCCAAATGGATGCTCCACAACAACCCTCGGCGTGGACGCTGCTACCCCACCCCCCGTCCAACTCCTTTGCAGCTTATGCAATTCTCAAATGCTTGAAACAAATTCTTTGGAGCGCATCAAAGCGCAAAACCAAATTGTGACATGTACTAAGCATAGGCGACGGATCCGTTCAGACAAGCCCTGCTCCTCCACCTCCACCCGATTCTCGCTCCCACGCTGGTGCGTGAGTGTGGCCAACAATGCGGCCAGCTACGTATCGTCCAGGCACCCATCAGCGTCGCCCAACAAAAGAAGTAGCACATTCCACAAACAACTGCCAACTGGTTGCCCATAATGCCATAGAGCCGGAGCTGGTGTTGGGGCTAGGGTTCCACCACATGGGCAAAGGCATGTGTGCCGGGTGTTAATTGCTGTAAATTAATGTAAGCGCCAGCATTTTGCTTTAATTAAATGTTTATGAATATAATAAGTTTTTTATTAATTGCAAACATTTTTATATTCTCGCTGACGCATATTTCTTGAAGTACGTTATGCTTTTTACTTCGCAAGCCAAGGTTTCGCTTTAAAGTTTCAGGGGTTATTCTTTGATTTTTTCGGCCAATTTGTTAATGGTCTGATGCGTGACTTATTGTTGTGCATGGTTTTGAACAATATCTATGAATTGATGGGGTGGTTTTGAGTTGGCACAAACAGCGCAAGGAAGCAGGCATCCTTACAGCATGAGCTTTGGGAGAAATCTCAATTCCATAAGTAAAATATGATATTTAAAATTTGGTGGTGTCTCAGGAACATTAAAGTAAGCTCCCCTGAAAAGTATTCCTTTAAATTAAAGATGCTGTGAAAGCTTAGAGTCGTACACATTATTCAGCATTTGTTATTATAACTTGAAGTTCAAATAGATAAGGTAACATGTAATATTATTTAGCAAAACGTCTTCAGCTAGGATACGTAGCGTACGTACGTAGTATAAGCATTTTAAATTTATTTCATTCCAGATTAAGATTGGCAATCAATGCACAGCTCAAACGGTAAGAGGGTAAGAGGGTTTTGGAAAATTCGAACACCAAAGTGGGGTAAACAGGCTCCAACGTTTGTATGAAAAATCTAAAATTTTCATCAGATTAACTTAGTTTGTATACTCTCATAAATAATACAAGAAAAACTGTATATTTGGTTTTTTGCTATTTTTAATGCGGCCAGTATTATGGGTATTTTCCCGTGGTAAAATCGGGACCCGAAAAGCTATGTGCAATCAGCGCACAGCCCAAACGGTAAGAGCTAGGAAGCTGAAATTTGGACTCAAATATCCTTTCATAGTATCCATCATAGTGTAGGTGCGCACTAAGAAAAGCTTTGGAGCTCCAAAGGGGGGGAACACGAGCTTAAAAAAAATATTAGTTATAGTGGTCATGTGTGTGTACGTTTAACGAAATATTTTGGCAAGAACAAAGATGTAAGATGTTGTCAAGAACAGAAAATGTTCATTTAAATACGTTTAATTCCTTCCTACTGGTAACTAATAAGGTGAAAACATATGCACACACAAAATAAATACAATTTGAAACATTATATTGAGCCGGGTTAAGACGGGTAATACCTGCATTTTGTTCATAATTTAAAATAAAATCTACTGCTGCTAGCAGACATAACATTTCCGGGTATAACTTCTTTTGAAGCTGTGCTCCTAAAAAGAGGCCTGGCAATGGGTAAATAGGCGATTGCAAAATTTTAATTACTAACCAAAAGCCCTTTGCCACGATTTGGAAGAGGGGTTCATCGAAAAAAGCATCCACTTGCCTTTACACCAACCATAAATAATGTATCTGCATGTCAAGTTTGGTCATCCAAGTTTTTATACTATGCTTTAGCAGGACCCCTCGACCTGCTGTTATGCTTCGTACAACTATCATGCATCCTTCTGGGTGAAACAAAAACTATTTAGTAATACTTTAATAGTAATACCCTTTTAGCCTTTGGGTACCCTACTGGGTACAAATATATACATTTTTTGAAATATTTAATCTTTATTTAAGATCTGTCCTATGTTGGACAATTATTAAACTTTATGATAACTTTGACAATTTTTAATCATGCTTCTGTCATGATGGTTGCGGCGTGGTATGAACCGATTCAAGGAACGAATCCACATTGTGGGATTCCCGCTAGCTCGCTGAGCTATGCCAGACCTGTGTACAACATGATGCGAAATTCTGGGTATGGGGTTATGTTTTGTGAATGTCTTAAAGTGATTTTTACGATCCAAATATTGAACAATGAAGTTTGATTACATTTCATGTAAAGAATGGAATTTCTGCAGGTGAAACGTTAAGAATGTAGCAGAACGCTTTCGGTAAAAAGTCAACTTTTAAAACAGTTTTTGACTGGCTTAAAAGAATTAATCGAAGAGGGTCGAGAAAGCGATTCAGGCGAACCGCATTCATTCAAGCTCCAATCAACACCATTTAGAGAGAAGATTTGGACCTCCGCCAAAAAAAACTGCACCACTGAATTCGTTTTTCGAGATCATTTCAAAACCACCGCATTCGCCTGGTTTAGATCCAATTGACTTTTGGCTACTTGATAAATTGAACAGAACGACGAAGAACGAAGGACATTCAAGAAAAGGATTTTTTGGACTGCTTTGAGAATTGGAAAATGTGTTAACATATGGGAGGGAATTACAGTGAGAACTCTCTTGGCCGGACACTCACGGTCAACCAAGGGGAGTGTCCGCTTAAGGGGATACTTAAATACTTTATAAACCGATCGAAAAAGTGTCCGCCCAAGAGAGTGTATGGATAAAAGAGTTGTCCATTAAGGGAGCTTTCAATGTATTTGAAAATCTATACAATTAAATTTTATGAATAAATAAAGATTTTCAATGTCGGGATAATTTTTGTACACAAATAATATGTATAACTCGAACATAATTTTTACATACTTGTATAGTACATACATCACATATTCCCACTCCCTTTTAAATTTAAGAATGCTTGCATTTAATATTAGTTTCTTATTCTATCGCCGACAACGGCCGCAATTAGTCCTGGAAATGACCCATCTATCAAAAAGCATTAACTGTGTCCAGGTTGCAATTAAATAGGAGCAGCAATCAATTACGGCCAGCGAATGGTGTCTTTAATTATGCAATGAGGCTTAAACGCGCGTCCAGGGAGTAAAGGCCATGGAACCAGCCGACAAGCTGCAGGCAAAAGAAGGAGCAGCAGGAAGAGCGCACAGAAATCAGAACTGTTGCTGGGCGCATTGAACTTTGCGTCTTGTTTGATTTGGGCTAGTTGGTTGCAGCAATAAAGAAATACAAGATGCAGGCGGACTTTAAATTTAAACTCGAACTTGATCAGAGGATTTAATTACAATTAAAACAGAATAAATAAAGTAAAGCAACGAACCTATCCTAATTACACAACTACTATACTATACTATAGGATTCTCAATCAGTCAATCACAATCATATTCATGTCATCAGTCTGATACTGTTCTTGAGAAGCATACCAAACATTCCTAGACTGATGCTTCTCTTTTTTACTCGGCTTCTTCGATGAGATGAGCGTTCGGCGTTTCAAACGCTTCAGTTTCTTCTTCTCGCGTTTCTTCATTCGGTCCTCAGCCACTCGCAGGATTGTATCACGCAGCTCCAGGCGATACTTTTGGAGATTTGTTAACTCTTTGCTGAGTGAATCGTTCTTCGTCGTCACGACATCATCTTCGTCATCGGTCAGTAAAGCCTCGTCGTATTCGTTCCATGACGTGTTTAGAATGCGTGGCTGTAGAGGTCTGCCTGAGCGATTTTTGCTAATCTTTAGCAGCTTCTCGGTGAGAAGTAACTTGGATGTGGCCCACTTCATAAGTTGGTTTTCTTTTTGTCCCAGATGTTGCTTAAAGCAGAACAGCTGAAATGTTACGCTGTTGTCTTCATGGTCCACCACTTGTGTAGTCCCCGAAACCGAGGTCTTCGGTGTCTGAGGTACTGCTGGCTCGTCACAATACGCCTGACGTTCGGTGACATTGCCCATTCCAGTGCTTAGATGTAGTCTGTCCGACAGTTCAATTGTCTGTGACAGCTGCAAAAAGTTTGCACACATTCTTATATGACAGAAAGGAGAGCCACAATTATGAGACAATAAGGCATAAGCTGAGAAATTGTTTTTGGGTTTGTGGTTGTAAATATACCTGAGCAATAGGTATCTATCACCGATTTAGCAGCGCGCAGGTTTTATGGCTTTAAAGTAACATCTGGCGGAAAAATGTTGAGCATTTTCCGATTACCTGTGAGCACACAAATAATAAGTTTATAAACGGATGATGTTGAGACTAATATGTCATAGTTAAAGCACTTTCTTTTCAGGTCTCGTCATTCCGTCTACGTTGAGGCATACTACAAAATGAGGGCTGTAGCTTGCACGGTTTCGGTATCGTAATATCATCTTTCCAAATGAACGTCGACAGGGCCCAGGTTGAGAACTAATTACATTCTTAGTCTTTTGGTACAAGAGTCAAAATACCAACAAAGAATCCTATTGCTGAGCCATAAAGAGTATTCTGCCGCCTACCTGCAATTTCGGATTCGGAAAACACAAGCTACCTCGACAAGTCGAAACAGGCAGAATAGTTTTGTGATATCATGGGATTGGCTGTTGTCGCCTGAGCTACCTACTCTAGAGCCATGTATATAAGTCCGCACACGTGTTCCGTCGGCAATACTCGATGGTTAAGCTTTGAAGAAAATGGACAAGCCGCAAATATTGATGCTGCGCACGCCACTCAACGCACAGAACCAGATCTTTATATTTGATTCGCCAATAGATTACATGGACAAGCAATTGATTGTGTATCAGCGACCAGGAGTCCTACCGGGCGATGATGGCTATTGCGTGGTCTTTAAACGCGACCATTTCATAATCAACAGCGCGCCCAACTACCAGAGTCCCACGAAGCGATCCTTCCTAAACGAGTGTATACGTCAGTTATATCTGATAAATGGATGGGTAAATCAGCTGCACTGGGACGGGCAGTCCCTAAACAATCGGAAGGAGTTGTGGAGGCAAGTAGATATATGTCTAAGATCTGGGCAGCGTCCTGTAAATAGACGGGAAAGCGTGCACCGTGTCAAGCGTCAACTCTTTCGCGACGATCGTGGAAAACGAAAGTGGAAGAAACCAAAACGCAGTTCAGCGTCTCACACGCAAATCATCAACTTCAGAAGCATACGCGATAAGATTGGACGCCAGCACGTTCGCCGTAGCTATCTGAAGCCAGCTCGAACCACGGTGATTCAGCGATTGATCTGTGAGAACCTCCAGCGTGAGATGCGCACTGCACCAGCTGCTGCTGCCGCCATAAGTGCTGCTCATGAATTTATCAACGCGAATGCAGATATATTATGTAGCTATAAACAGGAATTAGCGCGCTCCCAACCTATGCTGGAGTGCAATAATCAAACGTGCTGCCCGAGAAGGCGTCCAAAGCATCTAGATACGCTTTTTATGCATCAGCAAATGCAACACGCTGTTCAAAATCATCAGCTTATACTCGAGGAATCGGTTCGATCGATGTATTACGCCAAGGAACTTTTTCGTCTCATGGAAGATCATGACAAGTTTCTGCACCCAGAAAAACAAATTCTGGGACAAACGTAGATTTTAACTCTCGCACGTTTCATAAAAAACTCATACGTTCGTACTTTATTTAACAGAGAATGTATGTTACATAAATGGTAAGAGAAATTATGTTAAAAGCAACGCTTTTGTGGTTGTGATATTTGATCAACGTATACCTGTTGTGCCTAAATGCATTGTCTTCAAGACGCTTGTCTTTCACTAGAGTTAAGAGTAGTCATTACTGGGCTGTCTGCTGCTCGATCAACTTAGAGTGAACATCCATCAGACTCTGTAATGGAAATGCAGAATTTGTTAAACCTATTTGCATATATGCTTGAGCTTAAATGCAACTTAGGTGTCGCTTCTTAAAATACTTATGATTAAACGACTTAATGATATACTCAAGCCTTATTTTTTGTAACTAATATAAGCATATTTTTGTTCTAAGCCAATTAAAAATTCATATTTTACACAATCCTAAATATACATATGTTTATTCTCATTTTTATTGTGCTAAATATATATTTTTTAAAATTAAAGCATTATCACATACGTATTAAATGGATTACAGCTATTGCTGGATTCCTTTATTCATATAGTGTATTCGGTTTCGCCAGTTGAAGCATTCACTTTGCCAATAATATATAAAGAGCTTGTCCGATATCATTTTTGGAACTTCGAATATATTTATGAACATTTAAAAATAGAATACAAACAAAACTATTGCTGGATTTCTTCATTCTTATAATGTATTCGGTTTCGAGAATCACTGACAGTTGAAGCATTCACTTTGCCAATATATTTATGAATATTTCAAAATAGAATACATGCCAATTCTTCAAATTTTCTCAATTTTATCTTCACCTTTCATTTTCTGTAACCATCTAAAATGTTGGTAAGAAAAATAATATTAATGTAGTCTAAGTTGGAGAATTATTAGATTTGGGTAATTCAAAATCATGTATACATTATTTTAACTATGCTCAACCACAACCACTTTGATCATACATTACATTTTTGCTTTAGTTTGTGTAGCCGTCCGGTATGCCGAGTTCATGTACATCCCTTAGAATGCCCTGCGAAATTGTCCAAGGGAACAAATGTGGCCAAAAAGCCAAACGTTAACAAAGAATGGACAGTCTGATAATACATTCGCAACTATTTACAGATTTGAGTTTATCGTAACACATCTATACATTTTACAGGCTAGGGTTAGAGCAGCAAGTTTTAGATTAGTCGGATTAGTCCTAAGCCAAAACCTTTAAAAGCTCTGAAGCACACCGTAATCGAACCCTAAACTAAAGAACTTAAAGTATGTGAAGCTGCACGCATACCTTAAAATACTTGACTGTCTTGACGCGTAACTCCAAAGTGGCATCCTCGTCACATATCATCAAGGTGTTGGCATGCTGCTGAAAAGCACTTACTGTCCACATGTGATTCACGCCCTCTTCGATAGCCTTGTACAGAGCAAACGATTTTTGGGCGCCTGTAATCAGAATAAGCACTTCCTGCGCATCCAGAACGGTTCCTACGCCAACAGTAAGTGCCTGCTTGGGTACTTTTTGGATGTCATTGTTAAAGAAACGTGCATTCGCCTCCAGAGTATCTTGGGCCAAGGTCTTCACGCGCGTTCGCGAAACTAGCGAGGAACCAGGCTCGTTAAAGGCTATGTGGCCATCGGGTCCAATCCCACCAATGAAGAGCTCAACGCCGCCAGCTTCCTTTATTTGTCTCTCGAAACGATTACACTCTTCAACTAGATTAGAGGCATTACCATCTAGTATGTGAACATTTTCAGGTTCAATGTCAATGTGCTTGAAGAAATTGTTCCACATGTAGTAATGGTAGCTTTCCTCGTGATTGCGGGGAAGTCCTGTGGATGACAACAGACTTTTTAGAGACATGGCTCAATCAATGGTGTCAACGCGATTACTTACCCACATATTCATCCATATTAAACGTTTTCACATACTGGAACGATAGTTTGCCCTGCTTATGGAACTCAATGAGTTGTTTATACATGCCAAGTGGAGTGCTCCCTGTTGGTAAGCCCAAAACAAAATGTCTGTGGGATCAAGAATATCAGTATCTCTGAAAGTATGAATGCCTAAATGGATTCATGATTTTAACTTACCTTTCCGGACCAGGTTTGAAATCATTTATCCGTTTCATTACATATTTGGCAGCCCATTCGCCAACCGATTTACTTGTATCCAATATTACCAATCTCATTTTGAAACTAAAAATTTAATATGCAAGTGTTTATAAACTATTATTATAAACTATAAACTATTTTTCAATCAACTATTCTCATTTTATTTGATTTATTTTTATAATTATTTGTATTTGTATGTTTTTGGCAAATATTACAAAGAAATAATGATGCCAGCGTTTCATTGCAACTTTTAGAAGCGCTTATATAATGTCCTATAAATACTAACCCATAAAATTTAAATTGAACCACCAAATGCTGTCACATATCGTAATAATTAGGTAAGTTTTTGATTGCATTGATCAATTTTGCAGCGGTAGTCGTAGGTCATCGCTTATGAATATATGTAAATAAAAATAGACATACTCATAAGTACAACTTTTTGTGTGATACCGTAATAAATAACCTATTTTTTTTCATAATGATAAGAGCTCTGAGATAGTATCAGCAACAAGTAACGGTACCTGTAAAAAAATCGATGTTTTGACGTCGTCGATTTTTAGATGAGTATTAGAGTTTTGCGATGTTTTTACGAACGCGATACACCGGCGATGTTTAGGTAAATACTAAATGTACAAATGAATTGGAAACTGACATCAGTTGGAGACTCTCCTAAGAATGGTGGTGGTGTGTCTACAAAAGGCAAAATATCCGCATAGTTATATGTATATGCTCATTCTATTATAGGCTCCATTTAAAGGGTAGTCCTTCTGTGCCATCAGACACTATGTTTTCCGAAGCCGATATCCTGTTAAACCAGCAGAGGAATAGGAATCCTCTTGCAGTGCTGTCATTTTAGCTTTTTTCCCCGCTAGATCTGTCTTTTTTTTAATGCCAGGAATTCTAGCTTAAAAAAAATTATTTAGTCTTTTTCTAGCTTTACTTTATTTTTCACCATATATTGTTTTCCTTATCTTTGTTAACAATTAAAATCATGAATCTAAGCAGTGATAAACGACTTTCGATAATAAAATCTATCAAAATCACCGCCAGGCTCGAGCATAAGCCGTTTTTTTTCTTCTTCGCTGCGTTAAGATACAAGTATATCTAGTGTAAAAACAAAGTGTTCGCGAAGTGGAGCGGGTCTTCAGCCAGGTGAACTTAGTTAAATCCAAATTAAGAAATGGGATGAATTTAAATACGATTAACTCCATTTTAAGCGTAAGTTATATTTTTTATAAGCGTTGAGATACAAGTATGTCTAGTGTAAAAACAAAGTGTTCGCGAAGTGGAGCGGGTCTTCAGCCAGGTGAACTTAGTTAAATCCAAATTAAGAAATGGGATGAATTTAAATACGCTTAACTCCATTTTAAGCGTAAGTTATGTTTTTTATAAGCAAAATAAACCATATTCATAATTATATTAATTAATTTTCAATTTAAGATACGGACTTAATCGTAACAAAACTGAACTGAAACTTTCTATTATTATTTTTACAAGAATCTCATATTATTATTATAAATTATGAATTAAGAATATAGAATTAATATGAAAACATTAAAACCGATATTTCCTTAAATTTAACCAAGAAAATAGTGTTTTTAAAGCCGGCTTGTTTTTTTTTTTAGGTTTTTTTGACTTGGATTTAGACTTTTTTAGCTTTATTATTTTGGCAATCTAACTGTTTTTGCTTAAAAAATTATGACAGCAGTGTCCCCTTGGTATATCGGATAAAGTTTTGTTTTTAAAAAGTATTTTTTCAAAGCATTGATTTTTACTAGTACCTGATATTCGTTACTCCTGTTAATTTCAAATCGGATCTGTGGTCTTATGTTGGAAAATTCAAATCTGTCAGTATTTGTGATTCATCACAATAAAAGGCCAAAACATTAAAAAATAATTGTTTATTTTATTTGTATGATTTTGTATTGCATCTAAAATGGTTTCACAATTATTTAATTATATCGCTTTTGCTTATTAACAACCATTCTACTGAGCTTCTGGAGTCACAATCTGTTACATACTCACGATGCAGCAATTCACCTGCTGACTGTGATGACTAAATATACCGCATTTTTCGTTAGTATTTATCGATGTTGCCACATTATAAATAGAAACAATATGAAAATTCAGACGAAATATGCACACACATATGTTTTGACGAACCTAATGCCTAATACATATTCATACATACATATGTTTCTGACCATTTTCAATAACATAAATAACATCATGATTTCGTATACGCTCTTGTTTGCAGTTGAACAAAACCAACAGTCACATCTGGTAGGATAACACGAATAGGGATTACATTTATCGCAATAACTTGAGAATCCTAACACGATGTTATTGCCAACTTTGGGGAAAAAATTCAAAATAAAAAAAATACCGGCAAGGTTCCGACATGTAATGAAAACTCATTTCTCGGATTTCGGAGGACATGTACGCCAAGTGTGATTCTAGCTCGGATATTCCCGAGATTCTGATCAGACGGACGGACTAAAATACCCTGAAAATAATGGGTGCTTTAATTTTGGTATTGTTTCTGAATAAAAGCCATATCGACAGCTTTGTCATACATATGAAGGTATATCTACCGTGGAAGCATAGGCGATCAAATGCATATACATTTTTTGATCGTCATACAACTCCAAAATATAATCTGCTCCTGATACGTTAGATGTTTATTAAAACCTCTAAACGCCAAATACATGTAAAATGTATGTTATACACACTATATCATTAAACAAAGTTATATTTTTGATCAATGACTGGAGGAGATGAGCCGATACAGGCAATTCAAGAGTTGGGCTGGCGCTACGTTAATTTGACGAGTGTTTATTATTTCTGTCAGCTGATAAGCGATGACATTAGCTACGACTGACCGACAATAAATACAAATAACATTCAAGGCACGCCAACTTTCAATTTCTCTTGCATAGTTGCTTGTATTTACATATGTATGTACATTTATGTATATACTCGTATGTAGCACTCACCTTTATAACGAGTAAAAAGTGACAGACGACGATATTTTTACAATACTTGACAACAAAGCCGTAAAAAGCTAGTAATTAAGCACTTGATAGTCGTCACGAAGTAATAGCAGCGCGTTCGCGAGTTATTAGCGTGCTCACTGCTGAGTCGCAAACGAGACTGCTTTGAGGCTCACTTGCTGGTTTGCTTTATTGCCATTTAGTGCAAGCAATCTTGACATGCTCGAACTCCCGCCGCGTTTGGTGCTGGTCATACTCTTACGATAATACTAAAGATAAGCGAACTGTTCAATATATTTACATACATAAATGCATTGAAATGCAATTGTAACCTTGATAACCTTTAGTGTTATCGACCGTTATTGGACTGGACTACTTTTCGCATTGCAAAGTGGAGCTGAGCTACGACATATTCTATACTTTAATAACTTTAAAATACATACATAAGTATACGCTTTGTAGTTATCACGATTGGACTGCAGGGCAATGAACTTTATTAGAGAAGACACGTGATTTCATGATAAATGCCAATATGCATCGTTTTGTAATAAATTCATATAATAGAAAATTCCTACGCTATATTTAGCTAAAATGGTATTAATATTATGATTTCTCACTAGCCCATTTGTGGTGATTATATTAACTCCCCATCAAATAAGGTCGACTATTTGTCCATCCCCAACACATTGTTGCCCATCAACAAGCGTCACTTTAAGTGACAGTGAGTTGCGATTGTATTTTGAGTGTTTTTTTGCCGGACTCAATTGAGTAAAGCAAATTCAGGCGTTGCCGTACCGCACTTTTTGCTCAACTAAATGTTCCAACAGGTTTAGTGGGGGTCAGTCCAAGGGATAACACAGAAATAAATAATTAATTAATTAATACAACACACGTAAATGCATATTTTTACTATTCGTCCGCACTGACTTGAGTGTAAATACGCTGGCTTCTCCACGCAGCATAACGTCTCTCATATATTTGACGTACAATCCAAAAATAGCATTCGAAAACCTACGAAATATGCTGGGCACGTAACACTCTCCATCCGTAGGATATGCATATGTATGCATTAGCATAAGTACACATGTATGTACATACATATGAATTGTAAACAGAAAAAACATCTAACATCAGACAGCTAAATAGTTGAATTTAGTTGTAGTTACAATATTTCCGAAAGACTTGTATAATTGTATGTTTAAACCTTTTTATTTGTTTCAAAGTTAAATTATATAAACGTACTTAGAAAATAATTTGTTTTCAATTCTATTCTGCGCTTTAAAATAGTTTGGGGGCAGCTGATCGTCGCATTAAACGGAGACCACACCCCATCTGCATATGTAAAATGCTGCACATTTGAGCTTTTTTCTTGTAGATAAGTATGTATGTATATGCATACATACATACCATACATATATGAACTTATTTTGTTCTTGGATTATAAACCGGTTTCGTTCGACAGGAAAGTAAAAAATGGGAAGGATCACCTTTCCACATCTAATTTCTACAAAGCCAAGACATTTTACATTTAATTTCCTAAGAATTTGACGTTTTCTTTTTTTTAATATATTGCGGCCTTTCATTTGTTATGTTTGTAAATGTACTTTATGTTCTTGGTACAAAGAAATATTTCAATAAATATGGTAAGGACTTAGGTTGGATAAACTGATTTTGTAAATATGCTTATTGTACTTGATGGATGAGTCAGATCTCTAAATGCTTTAAAAATAATGAAATATTTATTTCATGGTTTTTAAAGAATTTAGGATGATTAAAAAATATAGAACGGAAAAATTGTAAATTTTAGGTGGTATATTTTTGAGCTTTTATATACCAAATAAAGTTTACAATCGAAGTTTTCTAATAAGTCGATTAGATGTTTAGTTACTAATTTTAAACGTGAAACAGGAAACGTTAATTTTTGTTATAGTCAATTCGAAAACACCAAAACAGAGAAACTACTATATAAACAAATAATTCGGAGGGTGTGTGTGTGTACTGGCTAGAAATGGGATATGACGAAAAAAATTCAACTGCTGAAAACAGGTTTACAAATTATGTTCTAAATTAGGTGTAACTGCTTATGTAGCACACAACAAATTAACTTATCAGATGATTGTTATAATCCTGTGTGTGTGTGTTTGCGTGTTTGTCTGTTTAATATTTAATTTTCTTTACATAATCGCGCACTTCTCGCCGCTCTGTTGGGGGTCGCCTTGCTGATGATAAAGCTGCTCATTGCCATCAACAGCACTGACGCTGCGGCGACGACGTGAGCTTGACACATGGGTGGAGACCACTCGCTTCAGTCGATCTAAATTGGCAACGTGTTCGCCGTCGCTGTTTAGCAGAATTGTCTTAGTATTCTCGCCGGTTATCCATTTTTGTTGCTTCATAACAATGTTCGCCGGTGGCTCGTGGTTGGCTCTGGTATCGGCAGACCATACGGTCACGAAGCTATTCGGTTCGATTTTGACTGAGCGATGGAACTTGTAAGTGGTAGCGGGACCGCCGTCGTTAATGGATCGCTGCAATTGCCAGCCACCAATGGCAATTTCCTCGGTGCCTTTGTTGTAGAGCTTCACAAATTTGCCCTCAGGATCTATTTCCTTGATTTCGACATTGCCCGTAGCGCTGGCCGAAACATAGAAATCAGAAACGCTGCGATCCTCCGATTCTTCGACGACGGCACGTTTGCGCTTATGTGCTACCGATCCCAAGCGACGAGAGGGGGTTGAACGCGTGGAGCGGAGCGATTGGCTAAATGATTGAACAGTGGCCGCATTGACAGGTGTGATGTTTAAACGGGCCTCCTCCCCCACCAGTAGTTTGTCGTAGGCGGCAATTTCCAAATCTAAAGAAACCTAAAGACAAAATGCAAACGATTAGACGGGTTCAAATTGACCATAAAAAGAATCTACAATACGTTTGTTAAACATGTAAGCTTTTTTTCATGTCTTTTCTCACCTTGATATCCATGAGATCCTGATATTCTTGTAACTGAAGAGCCATTTCCTCGCGCATACGCTGTAGTTCCTTTTCCAATAAACTTATATCATTGCTATGACGTTCACGCTCATTGTCCAGCTGTTGTTCCAGTTCGCGAATGCGTGCATTAAAGGCCGCATTGGCCGACTCCAGGTCATTAATTTTCGCATTAAGGCCATCAATACGAATGCGTGAATTACGCAATTCTTCAACCGATTTATGTGATGTATTGTGTGTGCGGGCTGCTGCATCCTGCAGTGAACGAATCTTAGCCTCATACAATGCCTCAATATCGTCACGATTGTTGCGCATCTGTTCCTCATATTGGTTGCGGAGCTCTTGCAGTGATTGCTGCAGTTTGGCTTCGTATTCGGAGGATAAACGCCCATCAATTTCGCTGTACTCGGTTTGACGAATGCGACGCGATTCATTGATCTCTTGGTTGTGAATTTGATCCTTAAAGGCCAGCTCCTCACGCAAGCTTTGGATGGCGTTTTCCAGATCAACGCGTGCCAATGTTTCCACCTCCAAATGTTTACGGGCATCTTCCAATTGTTTTCGCAAACGTTCCAATTCTTTAAGCGCATCGTTTAGGTCCTCAACGGCCTTCTTGCGTTCAGCGTTGGCTTGGCTGTATTTGTTGTTCAGCTCATTAGCACGAGACTCGTACATGCGGGAGTTGCCTATAGGGGTTAGAATTGTTGTATAAGCCTTAATTGATTTGTAAAATGGGAATACAACTCACCCTCTGCAGTACTGCACTCCTTGGTCTTCTTTTCAAGTTTGGCCTTGACCTCTTCATTCTCCTCCCACAGGCGCTTTATGTCCATCTCAAGACGGGCACGATCTCTAGCAGTCTCATCCAGCACACGACGAGCATCCATCAGCTCCCCCTCATAGATGTTCTTGATGTTCGTGGTCTCACGTGTGATCGTATCACGGGAGGTTTGCACTTCAATAGTGAGGCGTGAATTCTCCGTCTCCAAATTACGCACGCGGTCAATATAACAAGCCAAGCGGTCGTTTAGATTTTGCAGCTCAACTTTTTCCAGCAGACGCGAATGACGCGTAGGACTCAATGGACTGGAAGCCGGCTGCCCTTGTGGCTGCGAACTAGAGGGCGGCAGTGGGGTCGAAGTGCTGCCCGGCTGGGGCGTCGAGGTGCCAGCGCGTCGAGATTTGGTTGACATTTTCACACACTTTCTTGCTGGAAAACACAAAAATTCTTCTTCAAATTCACAGCTGTAAATTCTGAAACTGACCTTAAAATGAATGCTTAAAACGTTTTTATTATTTTGTCCGATAGTTTGCGCGCAATCCACACTCACTATGCTACTTATTCGTTTCTCTCTTGTCCAACGAGCCGCCTGATAAAATTCCATATAGAAATGCAAAGAAAAAGCAAGAAAACGGTTGCTGTCAAATACCCTTTAATAAATTTCCCCCATATTATTCAACATACACTTAAGCGATTAGAATTTGTCCGATTTGGAATTTTGTAGATGTTTGTGATATCTTATTATAACCAATACTTGCGATTCGATCAACCCAATTTGTGTTTTTAACTATTTCTGTGCTCGTAGGGGATAGAAAAACAGCTCAGAGCGAACTGCTGGTGAAAGAGAGAGAAAAAGCATGAACGATTTTTGTGCTCAAACTAGTTTCACGCTCTGAGAGCCAAACGTGTTTGTCTAGCACAAAAGCACTCAAGCGACTGTACTAAAGCGGACGAAGAAAAATAAGAGTGACTTTTGGCGGCGTTTTGTTTATGGGTGTGGGGAAAAATGCGCGGGTGCGGCAACAAAATGCAGGGAAAATAAATATTTATATCATGTACCAATATCCTATTCACGCCACACAATGCCCAATAACATCCTGTGCTTAACACGATATTGGCGCATGACATTTTTTATTCACAATTTGTTTTTTCAGCGGCATATCAACTGCAGCTGCAGGGGGGATTGGAGCAAGTATGCGATGCACTTTTTAATTTTTATTTTAAATGATATGCCACAATTTATATCTGAATGTTTCAATAAATCAAACAACTTACGTGTTTTGTACAACAAATTAAATATACACAATCGGCAAAATAAAGATATTAAAAAGCGTTTTTTTACGAACTTTACGCGGTAGACGATGCCTTTTAAAATGCAGCACAGAAAGAGTGACGCCTGGAAAAAAATGAGTACTTGAATGAGTAGTTCTTCGTCCAGCAATGAAATGTAAAGTTATCGGTTGTCCAATCGTTTTGGAAATTTGTGACAAATTTCATAAATGGTAAGTTTCATAAAAATTAAACTAAAAGAATTGTTATTTCAAGTTTAAGTAATAATTACTAACTAAAATCAAGATTGCAAAAGCGACAACTTTTCAAATGAGCACTGTGACTCAGTAGTTCAGTTCGGTTCATCATTTGAACTAGTGAGCATAGGTGTCTCTCTCAATTTAAATTACTTTTACCTAGACGGCAACGACATAAGCATTCTCTCTGTGCGGCGTCTCACGTTCAGCTTTTGCAATTGTTAAAATAGATTTTTAAAAAAAATTTCAAATAAAAACGTGCTAAAGGTTAGTAAAAATACATTATTTACTGTAAATGTAACCTATCTCTTCGATTATACCACTTTATTTTGCACACATTTTTGAGTATTACACATTGTGATGAAAAACAAGATGGCGACGCCTACGCCGGCTCTGTATGAATAAAAAAGGCGGCATGTGCTAATTTTCCCAAAAAAAATTTCATTTGTTACAGCATTTTTAAGGCTTTTACAAACAAGCAAATATGGCCGATAATGACGATCTTCTCGACTATGAGGATGAAGAGCAGAACGAGACCGCAACAGTAGAGACGCAAGAGGCACCAAAGAAAGACGTGAAGGGTACCTATGTATCCATACACAGCTCGGGCTTCCGCGATTTCCTGCTAAAGCCAGAAATATTGCGTGCAATTGTTGACTGCGGCTTTGAGCATCCGTCAGAGGGTAAGTACACTTGTAAATACGAAATGTACTGTTGTCATAATATATGTTACTTTTACCGTTTTAGTTCAACATGAGTGCATTCCGCAAGCCGTGCTTGGCATGGATATTTTATGTCAGGCCAAGTCAGGTATGGGCAAAACTGCTGTATTTGTGCTTGCCACGCTGCAGCAGCTCGAGCCAGCTGAGAATAATACCTGCCATGTATTGGTGATGTGTCACACTCGAGAGCTGGCATTCCAGATTAGCAAAGAGTATGAACGTTTCTCTAAGTACATGCCAACTGTGAAGGTAAGTTCTGTGTGCTAACAATAGCTTAATAGGTATTTTAATGCGAATTGATGTGCCTTTCTCGCCTTAGGTTGCTGTTTTCTTTGGCGGTCTTTCGATTCAAAAAGATGAAGAGACTCTCAAGATGGGCACCCCACATATTGTGGTTGGTACCCCCGGTCGTATCTTGGCCCTCATACGAAATAAAAAACTTAACCTGAAGCACTTGAAGCATTTCGTACTTGACGAATGTGACAAGATGTTGGAGCAACTGGGTATGCTTTAGACATAAGATTTTCTGTACAACATTTTCTATTTAATTTTCTTTTTGTTCTGCCGTGCAGATATGCGACGGGACGTGCAGGAGATTTTCCGTAGCACACCACACGGAAAACAAGTTATGATGTTCTCTGCTACGTTGAGCAAAGACATACGACCCGTATGCAAAAAGTTTATGCAAGATGTAAATATCAACGTGTTCATATCCACAATACTTCTCGTACTACTACTACTACTATCACGGTCACTAGTTATAATTGTAAAATCGCTCTGCGAGTCCGCATGTAAAATAGCACAAAGAAAATTATTGTCGCGTCGACAAGGTCACCACATATCAAGCGCTTTGGTGGCAAGCAAAAGTAGCGTTCATAAACTAGCACCCATCTTTTAAATGGTTAAACGCGAATTAAAATCGTAAATGCTCCAAGCCCATAACACATCTAAAAAGTACGTTTGTCTGTCAATACAAAAAACCATTTACTAAATGGTTAAACGTGTCAAGTGCAATCGTCAATGCTCCAAGTGCCAACTGGCATAATTTACAACTAAATAACATCGCCCGCGTGAGACAATCATCGTAAAGATTTAAAATCCAAAAATAATTTCAACATAAAACAAAAGCCGAGCCAAATAGAAACCACTGCCAATTTTTGATGAAACAAACCTTACAAAGGAGCGCAGGCTACAACGCATACATCCAAATGCCCTCCAAACGGTTGATTGGTTCATAGAGGCGGAGCCGACTGCAGGAGTCGTAGCAACGCACACGCATATGGTGATGTCTGTGACGCGCAACCATTGCAAATATACATAGTTGATGGTGGTAGGCGTGGCCGTATGTAGAATATCAAAACATGTATCTATGTTTGAGGCGTAGTTAGTTTTAATTGTTACCCAATGTCAAGCCCAATTGTTTTCCTTTAAAATGCAATAATTCTATTTTAATAGCCCATGGAAGTGTATGTGGATGATGAGGCCAAGTTGACTTTGCATGGTCTACAACAGCACTATGTAAACCTCAAGGAGAACGAGAAGAACAAGAAGCTGTTTGAGTTGCTCGATGTTCTTGAGTTTAATCAAGTATGCTAGCAATTGTTAAGCTAGTGCTTAAATGTATAGTAACCAACGCCGCCCTTAACTTTGCAGGTCGTCATCTTTGTCAAGTCGGTGCAAAGATGTGTGGCACTATCACAGCTGCTGACGGAGCAAAATTTCCCAGCAATTGGCATACATCGCGGAATGACACAAGAGGAGCGTCTCAATCGTTATCAGCAATTTAAAGATTTCCAGAAACGCATTTTGGTTGCTACAAATCTTTTTGGACGCGGCATGGATATTGAGCGTGTAAACATCGTATTTAATTATGACATGCCAGAGGATTCGGACACGTATTTGCATCGTGTGGCACGTGCTGGACGTTTTGGTACCAAGGGTTTGGCCATTACCTTTGTTTCGGACGAGAACGATGCGAAGATACTTAACGAAGTACAAGATCGTTTTGATGTCAATATTAGCGAGCTACCGGAAGAAATCGATTTATCTACTTATAGTAAGTACTTAGAATTATTTAAGCGCTTCATATATTTTAACTTTCTTTCATTTCTAGTTGAAGGACGCTGAGTCGTGTGGAAATTTGCTGCATAGCCAGACTCTTACTGGAAACTTAAGATCTTAATAATATTTTTTACAAGTCTCCTCTTTATAATAATTAAAAGCCCTCACATCTTGTGTTGACATAGAGAAAAATATACTGCTTGTTTTTTAAGGGGCTAACTATAAGCAAAGAAAACGTACACGATTTCAATCAAAGAAGAAGGGGTCTGGGCCTCACCAAAATCCTTTGTTTTCCTTTAATCGGATTTAAAATTGTTTATTGATGTTGCGGACTATTTGCGCTGATCGTGCTATTAAAGTTGTGAAGTATTGGAATCGTTTTTGAAACACTGGTCCAACATATCCAAGTCCTTCATATTTTTGAAAGCCACCGAATGAGAAGACTTCGGCGACAACATAACAGTTTTAAATGTTTCATCTAATCATTTTGACATTCCCCCGTAATCAAAGTGATATAACGTGCTAGTGGCTTGGTATAAAAAATGATGGAAAAGGAATCAGAATCGAAGAGTATATAATAAAACAATAAAAACAGTTGGGAGATCTTTGTTAAAAGTTGCGTGGTCGTATTATATCATATTCGCATTATTCCACCCCTAACCCACTTATAACTGAAAGGATAGATTGGTTTCAGAAAGAAAAAGTTAAAAAAAAGACATTGATCATATGCAGAAATAAGTGATTGGTTCCTTATCTCTGTAACCTTTATCTATGTTTATTTTATTAAATCACATTTACAGTGTGAATACCGACCCAATTAATAATGGTTTCTAGCTGTTTGTCACCTAGATGTGTTTTTATTTTGTGTTATTTTGAATCGTGCTAAATGGAATAAAGTCGTGTAACAATATATTAAATTTTTAATTGAAAACCCGTGTAAAAACAGAATTATTTGCAAATTTGTATTTGCAAATGTATGCGATAGATCAAAGCATCTCCGATCAGATGAATTAAAATTCTTGGTCATAAATACAAATCCAACTAGTCATATCTATCCTTCTGCATATACATGGGGATATAAAAAACGACTGATCCCTCACATACCAAAATGTTGACTTTACTAATATCTATGAAAAAAGGTATCCTATATATTTGTGAGTTTTCAGTCCCCCTTTCACCAACAAAGAATTTCGTCAAACTGTGCTCAATTCCTTATCTTCGGGTACCTGGTATTTTATTGTTGATTAAGACCTATCTCTTGCTTGGTTTGCATATTTATTTAGTAAATCAACAAATAGTGCTGTCGATGCAAACTTAACTTAACTTAACAGTTAATTAAGTAGAGTAAAAGGGAAATCTCCAACCCGGAGGGGGAAAATTTGAAAGCCAGTTCGGCAAGCTATGTCCCGACTCACACCAGTAAGTGGTCAGAGATTTCCCCGGAGATACCTATAAAGGATACATTTTATAGAATAGAGAGAGAGTTCTGCAAAAGTATATTGTATTTTTTTCAATACTATGAATGAATGAATTCATTCCGAGTTCCGTATTTACTGTGCTAAGTCGTAGAAGGTTTGTGATTATAAACATTTTTTGAAAGTGCTCAGCCCTTTCACATGTTGTATATACATACATATACTATGTATTACATATTTGTTAAATGTTTTGCCATTTCTTTGAGAGTTATTCAGAGTTAGCAGATGGATATCCGCTTCAGGACATGCGCAATGCGTTCATTGCTTCCGGCGTCGCATAACAGCAGCTGTCATTCACGTAAGTTAAATGGTTCCTTAGGAGATGGGTGGGCAAGAAAAAGGAGGAAAAATAACATAAAATTAGGAAAATAGCAGACACTTAAACAATGTGAAAAATGCGCGCCAACCACCCAAGGTCCCAACAAAATGTTGCTAAAAAAGTATGTGAAAAATCGCCGTAAGCTAAAGATTCTGCTGCTGCTTACGATAGTGGGACTGATTGTGATAACCATCATTGTGCTGAGCTCAGCGGGTCAGAACTCTGCCATTGAACGGCTATTGGATGAACGCTTCATAGCTCGCGCTTATCGAGCTGGTGGGGACAAGGCTGAGGAGCAGTCTGCGGATCTGCTGAAGCCCCATCGGGAGAATGGCGTCATTGTGCCTGAGAAGTATGACGAGCAGAAGATTAAAGCACGCATCATGCAGAGTCGTCTGGAGCAATTGAAGCAGCAGCAACACGACACTGAGGCGGAGGAAGTGCACACCACTCTGGAAGCAGTGGCAACAGCCGTGCACGTTTTCTATACAGTGCCCGTGCAATGGTACAAGTCCAAAAAGCTATCTGGACCTCCAGCAGCAGCAGCAGCATCCACCCTTGTGGATGAGCATGGCAACGAGGTGGTGGTGACGACGCCCAGACCTGTGAAGATTCTGAACACCGCCTTCTACCCCGCCTTGGGTCTGTATAAGCCCACAGTGACGTTGTTAGAAAAGCATTTCGAGAACATACGCAACTGTGGCATTGGCGTGCTCATCCTCAGCTATACGGGTCGATCGTCGGAAGGGGAACTACTGCGGCAGATCATTGACTTGGTGCCGCAGCACAACTTAAGTGTGACCTTTGAGCTGAGTGTGGCGAGCAATCAGAGTGTGGACTATTTACAACAGCAGCTGCGGGATTTGGGAAGCTTCACCACCTTGCCGGGCTTCTACAAGGTGTGGAGCCAATCGCGAGGCAAAGCCCTACCCGTTCTTTATGTCAGCAATGCCTACAAGTTGAGCGAAAGCTTAGGCCGCCTTCTGTGCCAATCTCAAAAGGACGGACTGCGACGGCTGCTGGATGCCTACTTCATAGGACATATACGGTAAGAATTGTAGCATATTTACAAGTAAAATATATTAATATTATATCTTTATCCCTGGACAGACTCAAGAGTCATGCGGATGTCTTGCGCCGACTATGCTTTGATGGATTTTATAGCAAATTGCCCAGCAATGGTGCGACATTTGCCAGCACCTGGAAAAACTGGTCTTACCTCAAGTCATATGCGCTCTCATATAAAATGCTTTTTGTGCCAACTGTGGGTCCTGGATTTGCCGAGCGTAATAAGTTTCCACGGCATGGCGATATACAGAGACATCGCAGCAACGGACGCGTAAGTATTACCCTATAACTTTTCTAGAGGGGATTGTACGAAGCACTTTCCCTTTTATGCACTTGTTAGGAATATTTACAAATTGCACATACATAGATAGATAGAATCCAGATTACCAGACGAAGCTATGTAAGCGGATTATTTAAACAAATTATGGAAGGGTTTTAAGACTAAGAAATAAAAACTATTAGTCATTTGTTCAGATATATTCAGAGTTTTACGTTAAATAATAAATAAACATCAAAGGAGCAAAGAATAGTAGAACACAGAGGTTCAAAAATATATAAAAAGCTTTCAGTTAATCACTTTAAAACATTTACCAGAAGCTCAGGCCACTATATTATAAATACGTCCACAATTATTGATCGCTTATAGTGACCAAACGTGGACTTGGAGGAAACAATGTTGTCTTATAGATGACAGTAAAGGGGCCTTTATTGCTAAAGACTTTTAATGATGTTAGGATAATATCCTTGAGTGTCTGTTAGTTTGTATAGAACAATAAAAGGCGCTCTATTGACTATCTTTTATCTTTAATAGTACTACGGTGTGGCGTGGCGGACCGCTATTCTCAATCACGTCGGCTTCATCAATATAGCAAGCTACAACAATTGGCCCGATGGTAGTCAAATCGAAGAGGTTGTACCACGCGCTGGATTCCTGGACTATAATCCCGGTTCGAAAACAAAATATCTCGATCTGACCACGCATTGGGTGGGAAACTTTTTGAAGACGCGGCAGGAGGCTGCGGCTGCTGGACCTCAACAGCTGAACTGTTATGAGCTATTAAATAACACGATTTGTTAAGCAGTCTTCTCAGATCGTGAGAAAATACCGTGTTATGACGTAGCGATGAATTTTTCTCTATCTCAGATGTTATCTCAGAAGTATTGGTGGGTCGTTATAATATCCCATTTTGAAAATTCAGTCCAGGTTATACAAACAATACGCCATTAAATGTTATACAACATTTTTCTGAGCTACTAAGTCAATTCCAATAGCTTAATCTTAAATTAAATCTATTGAATTCGAAGCTACGCGACAAACAAAATAACATCGACAAGTTTAGTGCAAAATGTATTTACTTTATAAGCAAAAAATTGCATGCCACACATTTACTTTCTACTGTTAGTAAGTCTTTTACTCTATATGCCTTTATAGTAAAAATTTACATACATACACGTATATATGTATATCTGCCAGTTATATATGGTGCAAGCAATATACTTTTAAGTACTTAGCATTATACTTAAAGCTAAACCCTTACATATATACATACGAGTATGTTAACTACGTAGCTTAGCTAGGGCCTATAATGTGGGGGCCGTTTGGAAACTTTATTAGCTTACTAACAACATGATAAGAATATTAACAATATCATAGCATTATCCAAGCCATGGGAGAACAATTGTATCCAAGCCAACAGAGGCTACAATCATATGTATAGTATGTTAGGCGTAAATATCAACACTTGTTAATCGAATGGTACTTTGAAAATTTTAACTTTATTACAATTACAATCCATATATAGTACATAATACATAAAAGCATACCTATATATTAAATCCTTTATCTAAGCTTTAATAGTTTAGCGCAGATTCGTTAATACATAACTCCAACAATTATGAGATGCCTAAAACTGAATTGAATTTTACTCTTACGAATTAAGTTCCCCCGACACCAATTATAGGCAAATTTTCAGTCTTTCTCGTATCAGTGGCAAAACAATTTCTGAACAATTTCCGCTGCTCGGCTTAGGGGTGGAATATCGCTCAGGTACGAGGAAATAATTTCGTTGAAATCATGTAGAAGCCGGAGGGAAATTATTGGAAGAAGAAATTTTAATTTGTGTACTGGAAATTAATATTTAACGACTATTAATAGCAATTTCCGTTGTCGCTTGAAAATTGGTACGAGGGCTTTTTTATGGATACGTAATTATACTCTGTACATGAAATGTACAGGAGTATATTAGGTTTGCGCGAACTGAAAAATATAACAGGCAGAAGGAGGCGTGGCACACCCCACAAAGTATATACAAGTATATTCTCAGCATGACAAGACGAGTCGATCTAGTCCTTTCTGACTGTCTGTATGAGGACCTCGATCTCAGATACTATAAGAGCTAGAGACACCAAATTTTGCACAAAGATGCCTTATGTGTGTACGCTGTGGAAGTTTGTTTTATTCTTTTGATTTACCCCCACTTCCCACCTATGGGGGAGTTCCCGGTTTTCCGTTCGTATAATCACCTATATCTCGGAGACCATAATACCTAGGGACACCAAATTTTAGTCCAAGATGCCTTATGTGAATACGGAGAAAATGATAAGAAAATTTCCCTCCCTCTTCCCTCTCCCACGCAATCAGTGAGTTTCCATAACTCCCGTATTTCTTGGAATTTTTCGGTGAAATTCGGAAAATCCTTCCAGTTAGTACAGTTAAACAGGCACACGAGACATACACAGACACACACATACACGCATAATTATTCTACACATATGTACAGAGTATTTCAAAGTCGGAACACCCAACTTTAGCTTCTCTACTTGATATAATTCTGTATATGTTGGGCTGGCTGAGTTCACATTTTCTTACATCCCGCACCATTGAGAGTGTGTCAGAGAGTCCGAGATTAGGATGTTAACATTATTTTTGTCTGCAGGAACTAACTAAAGAGTATTATATTGCTTCCTGCGTATACATACATATGTATATAGCTTAAATATATCAAATATATTAACATTGTAAGTACTTTTTTTATAGCATAATTACCCCAATTTCAATTGAAAGCAATACTTTTCAGTTATTTGCCAGACTGATTTCAAGCTCAATGTCTTTAGTTGCAGCCGATATGGTCGAAATTATTTTCGAAACTGCCAAATAATGTGACAACGTACCATTTCATTGTTTCAAGTGACAGTTCCTGTCAGGTTTGCAGAAATATTAGTTGAAAAATCAGTATTCCCTCTGTTCTGCTCCTGCAGCTAGAGACAGCATCTCAAGAACATGTCCCAAATGATGTCCAAAGCTGTTTACGACAAGAGACAGCCGAAGGGTCAACAGCCCACCTACAAGGGCTGCTGCTGCAAGCGCTCGCAGTGCATAAAAAATTATTGCGATTGCTATCAGTCCATGGCCATATGCACCAAGTTTTGCAAGTGCATAGGTAAGTTCTCAAATAATAGACAGGTTCTTGACGAATACACACACATAGGTACATACATATGTACACATTATAACTTACGCAGGGTGTCGCAATACGGAGGTGCGGAAGGTTGTCAACTCAGGTCCCGTAAAATCCGCAAGTAGTGCTAAGCGGGAGCGGGCGGCGGCGATGACAGCCAAGGCAGCTGCTGCGGCAGCCAAGGCGGGCATCGATGTGAGCGCGAAGGCTGGAATGGGACCAATGCCGAATGTTTTGGGCTCTGCTGCCGGACCAGGTTTCATGTGCGGCCTACAAATGCCGTACGGATTCATGAACGCACAGCCTTCGCCAGCAATGAACTTGGTTCCAGGACCCAATGTGATGAACATGCCAGCAATGACGCCATTCCCGGCACAGCCCTTTATTCCACAAATAACAACAATGGCACCAGTTGCGGTCGTCTCAGGAGCACGACCATCCCAGTTTAATGGGTTGGCCAAGCCACAGCTGCCTCCTGAACCAACTGACACCAACATCTTAACCCCACAAATCAATGCAGCTTTACTGGATTGCATGTATATGCAGGCCGCCGATGCCGAAGAGGCTGGCCTGGAGGAGGTGGAGGTGGGGCAGCTGGTGATGCATGAGTTTGCGTGTGGCCTTACTAGCATTATGAGTTCCATGCCAAATCAGTAGGCACAACCATTTCAAAAAATATATCCAATATTATTTATTATGTACAAAAAATAAGTTCATTCAAATAATTTAAGGTATAGTTTCAGATTAGGATGCAAGTTTACGAAAGCTACAATTAGAATGCTTGTTAACAATCCAAAAAGATGTTTAAGCTATTCATACTACCCTATGTTTCACCTTTTCTGCAATATAATTGGATGTGATAACAAATTTTAATTATTCCTATTCACAGTCGCGTTGCATTCTAAATATTTGAGATATAAATTAATCTAATAAAAAATAGAGTTTATACATATATTTTTATGTATATATATATAGAAATAAAAGCCAATGTCTGATACATAATATGTGTATGCATTGAGATCTCATTATTAGCTAGTCACGTATATGAATACGTTTTTGGACACTGTACCCGAAGGATGAATATTCGGTTTGTGCTAAGTATGTAACAGGAAGAAGGAACCAGCTCCGACCTCATAAAGTACATACATATATTATTAATCAGTACGACGAGAAAAATCGAGATGTGCCCGTCCGTCTGTCTGTGTGGAAGAACGCCTGCATTTCGGATGATCCCATACTGATCATTCTTCGTATGTAGACTCTCCTAATCCCTAGCCAATACAAGTTATTTTATTTTTCCACTACACAGTTTTGTCATTATTGTCCACAATTCCAAAGCTACAGAAGCAAATCTTCGCAACCGTTAATTATATAGAAGTTTCTACTTCTGTTTTAAAAATTCCTTCAATTCGGTTAATTCTAAGAAAAATTAGCGAAACAAACTTCGGCTATGCGCCCATATATATAACAAGACGCATATATATTGCTATTTGTGCGTAGAGGGTAGGAAGTACACTCTATCTTGTTTGATCTACCAATCGGGCGGTTGAAAAATCATCTCAGTCACTATTTTATCACAGCTGTTTTTCCGGTGCAAGCGTTGTTCTAATTTCGATTTGTGCCTTTCCAGCGGCAATTCATTATCCGAATCAATATCATCCTCTTCCGATTGCGGCTCATCTCCTTCCTCGTCATCCTCACTGACTCGACGTCGTTTCCGTTTCGATTTTGACGTCTTCGCATTGCGATATTTGTCCCAAAATTGTGCCGGCTGTGCAAACTGTACGAGATTGGGAAAGCGCATGTTCAGGGCCTTGCATAACTTATTGTAGGATTGCTGAAGTTTTGGCGACATGACACTATTTAAATTGCAGAAACTTTCCTCCACATAACGCAAGCAGCTTTCCAATTGCTTGATCTGAAAGTACACATTTAAATCAATATAAATAAGAATATCTTTATTACAAATGAATTGAAAGTTCACGAACCGGATCTTCCAGGCCCTCACGCTGGCGGGATTTGCGTCCGCGTCCCTGTTGTTCTGCAGCTGTGCTTGTTGAAGGAACAGCATCTGGCTCTGCACCGCCTTCACCATCGTCTTCACCGGCTTCTCCGCGCGAAGTTTGATGCTTTTTTCCCTTGGTTACGAAACAGATCCGTCGCATTATAAAAAGTATATCATTCACAGCAGCCAGAGCATTAGGAGAGTTTCTAAAGTTGACGTCTTTGGTTTTTACTGCAAATATTTGTAAAATATTGAATAGTGCCCAAAATATGTACTGAGATTTATTGTTATTGTTTTTGGAGTTCAAAAAAGGAAGACCAATAGTTTTAATCACAACTTTTACACAGCTTAAGAGAGCTATCGCGTTAAGACTTTGTACCCTAGTATAGTTTGTATAAACGTATAATCATATTATTAATAAGTATGGGTTTACCAAATTTCTATGTATTACTATATTAAAATAGTTAAGATTTCTGACACACTTACCAGCCAACAGTTTTAGTTGCCCAAAGTACGACAAAAGAGTATTGTCGTCCAGTGTAGATATTATGTGATTGTATATCAGTCTTCTACTCTTTGTCTTCTCTTCCCCTTTTAATGGAGACTTATATGTGGGATGTAGTTTCGCACCCTCTAGATAGGCTTCATCATTGAAGTCAAAGGGGCTTTCTCGAAGGCAGTGTTGGAAGAGTAGCTTGTTATAAAGCCGCTGGTATCGTATAAAGAAAGCGTCCGCCTCGCGTGCCATTTCGCCACTCTCGTCAGCCAGTGTTGCCAGCAGCGATGTCAATATGGGTCCTTTCAGTCGAATACTACCAGACAAGATGAGGTCCTTCACACAACGGAAAGTCCTCACGCGTGTTATAGCGAATTTTGAATTCATTTTTCCCAAAATGCACTGGAAATTATTTTGCAGAATTGTCGTATGCTTCTTTCCCAAATCATTGAAGGCTATAAGCGTAGTGTTAATAATTTGTGGTCGATCGTTATTGTCCAGAATCTGCCTGTAGATACCAACCAAGCCATTGGCCATTTTATCGTCTCTCAAACACAAACGACCAGCTATTACAATCATCCAGTTCATCATACGCTCATTGTCACTATCGAAATTGTCTTCGCTGAGCTTGATGCATTCATTCAGGTATTTGAAAACAATTCCCACTACGCGAATATCGACGTGCAGGGGAAGCATAACGACAATCTCCGTGTAAGTAGCCAGTAAGCTTTGTAAGCGCGTGTGTTCGTTTTGAAAATTCCCGGAGTAGAATAAAATCGAGTCATTTACATCTTCAAGCAGTTTTGTTAACCAACTTTCGTCGTCATTTCTTTGCAAAGGCGATTGACTAATTGACAAATGATGCATTTGCTTGAGCAGGCTTACAGCAGTTGATATGAGACCTAGCCATATACTGCCCGTTCGTAAATGTTCCAGCAACAGCTTGAAGAGATTGTTGAGAGCGGGCTTGGAAAAATTTGGTAAGCAACAAATGATAAGTTGCAAGGCCAGCACCTGATTGGTTTTCATATTATACGAGGATAAACTATTGAAATACGTAATAAGTTCATCCAAATTGTTGGTAATACGGCTCGATAGGAGCAACAGGAGTGCCCAAGCCTCCGTGGCTGTTGGTGTGGACAAATGTGATATGATGACGTGTACTAATTTAGAGCTAAATGGGTGAGAAAAATCAAGATAATAAATGATTAAAACATGCGTGTCTCGAAAAATAACTAAACTATGCTATATAGATAATTTTTAATATTTTAAATTTAAATATGTCATTAACAATACTTTAATATGGAAATTAAAAAAGCTTAATGACACATACTATTGTTTTGCAGGACTTTAATTTCAAGAATGGAGTAGGGATATCAAATTCAATTTAATTTCATGACAATAAAACCTCAAGTGGGGCGGTGACACCATTTATTGGAATTGAAATTGTGGATACTTACGTAACCATTGTTTGCTTATCGAGCAATTCGCCAAATCTTTCCTGCAAATATGCGCGTGGCTGTGTCAGTAGCAGCGTAGTTACAATACGCCATGGCATGAAATGTTTAGGTTCGTTTGAGTTTTCCAGCGGCTGAATATTCTTTAAGACTATTTGATTGAAACTCTAAAGAGAGATTGCTCAAAATAGGAAATTGAATATAAACGTTAATTAAGCTGCTTACCTGCATAGCCAATTTCTGGAGCGCTACATCCTCATCACTGAGCAGGCATGCCCAAATTCGGCAATAAACGCAAATCAAGGCAAAACAATTGCAATAGGCCTGCAATAAGGTTTCGATGCACTCCAGCGCTGCTTTTCTCACTGAGGCCAGTCGATCTACGGCCAGCATAGACATTTCACGCACAAAATTAGTGTTGTAAATAATCAGCGGATTAATTAATATTAAACGTTCCAGCAGTGTTATTCCCGATGTACGGGCTAGACCGTTATCAGAGTTTAAGAAGCGCTCGTAAATGATTTGCGGCAAGTTCTTAACTTCCTCCTCCAACATATCGTGGCCTTCGAAACTAAAGGCATACTGATAAATTCCGGGTTTTTCAAAACGTAGCTCATGTTGCTGCGCCTTTGGTTCTTGTGGAGCCTCCACATCCTCATCGTTGTACTGCACAAAACGTATGCTCTCATCAAGTATTTTCGCAGTCATTGCAGAGCCGTACTTCAGCGCCGAGATAAGAACTTGGGAGGCTTTGCGGCGAACTGTAAAAGTTCTGTCGTTAAGACATAAAATAGTTTCCTTAATTAGAGCCACCTCTCGGGGTATTGTGGAGACGTCATAGCGAAAGATGCTCCACTCCACCACAGTTTGGTGCTGTAGAATTCGATCAACTAGTTCCAATGCCCGTGTTTGTATGGATACAGCATCGTCAGCTTTAACAGCTTCCATCACATAGTCCGCACAGGATTTGTTACATTTTCCATAAAGCGCTGCGTCGTACTTAGCCGCATAGCCAATAGCTATTTTTTCATCAGCGGGCTTCCACTACATGGAGAATAAATTTGAAGGAAATAAATGTAAATGGAAAAAGGTAAATTAATGTATTGGTTTCATTGGCAATTACTCACAGCTTTGATGGGATTCGAAATTACGGTTTCAATGTACAAATTTAGTATCTTTGCCATTATCTCAGGGTACTTATCCAAGAGTTTTATGAACCAAGCGGAGATGTGTTCGATGCTTTGCCCGTTTCGATTTCCTCCCTTCGGGCATTCGCCGTAAATGTGCATTGGGAAAGTCTGCTGTAATATCAGTAATAGTGTATTATATACATCACCATTGTGTTCGTTGGCAATTTCATCAAAAACTTCAAAGCACTTGGTGTGTAAAGCAGGCGCACCTAAAAAAGAGAAATTGATGAAACGGTTCAAATGGAAATATATACTCCTAAAAAGCTTTATATGTACATATATAGTATTTATATAGAATATTTTAAATATTATTCACATATCTATTTTTGTTGAACCTTAATTTTGTATTTGTAAAACAGATAAGTGTTAAATGCAATTATCAGACCCAAAAACTGAAATACGGTTATGGTATGTTTAATAACGAAATTAACTTGAAGTCTGATTTTAATTATATTAATGAGATAGTCACTTTGTCTGCAAAAAATATTAATTATTTCGACCTACGATTTTTATTTGTAATAAATTAATACATATATTGCATATCAAAATCAGTCGCAGGAAAACCACCAATGTATAATTAAAATCAATTTAAGAATGCAATATATACATATAAGTATGTATATATGCGGTATGTAACAGTCAGGAGCAATAATGAGACAATTACATATAGATACATAAGTCCGCCTGTACGTCCGCATGGGCGCCAAGAACTTTTAAACCATAACTGCTAATAAAATTTGGCGTGTACACTTTTTGTATCCAAATGTAGTAAACGTTTATTATAAGCCACATATAGCCTTCCACGAATGACTTTCTATAAAGATTTTCTGTATTTATAAGTTTTTGAAAATCAGTGTACTACCTATATTATATAGCACCCACTAATGGTTGATGCAAGGACTGCATCATGTTTCACAATTAAATGGCCATTTCGTCAATTTATTTCAATTTGCTTAGTATTTATATATATGACAAAACCGTTACGAATGCATGATTGAGAATCGATATCAACTTACAATCGATAACAGCTTTAGACATCGCTAGCATGCAATCAAACAGCTGTCCCAATTGCCAGCCAGCACAATTCGGTGAATTGTGAAATAACTATTACAATTTTGTTGTGCGTTTTTATACATACGCACAAAAATGTTAATTTTGTTGCGAACACAATCGGAGGTGCGACTCCGCACTGTCACGCGACTGCTAGCAGCACAGCTGGTGGCGCAGCCGAAACAAGCGTTTTCCACGACAACGAGCGAACATTATGATATTATAATTGGTGGAGGAGGACTTGTTGGTACTACCTTGGCAGCTGCAGTGGCAAAAAATAAAACACTTGCCGATAAGAAGGTCTTGCTCTTGGAGGGCGCACCCGAATTTAAAGGCTTTGATGGAAAGGGACCCTACCACAATCGAGTCTCGGCCATTAATAGTAACTCTATACAGCTGTTCAAGGCAATTGACGCCTGGTCGCACATTGAGGCATCACGATACAAGCCGGTTAAGCAGATGCAAGTGTGGGAATCCAACAGCGATGCTCTCATACAATTTCAGCATGAAAACTTCGCTAATGGTGTAGCCTGCATTATTGAGAATGATTTGATACTGGATGCTGTCTACGCGCGAGTGAAGGAGGCATGTAATGTAAAAGTGTTGAACCGGGCGCGCATCGAGAGTGTGCGCTTGCCTCAAGATTCTGGCTGCTCAAACTCTGAGGTGACGCTGCAAGATGGACGTCAGTTTACGTGCGAACTGCTTGTAGGTGCAGACGGTGCCAATTCTGTGGTGCGCAAGCAAATGGGAGTGGACGTATTTTCGCTTAACTATGAACGCATGGGCCTGGTTGCCACACTGGAACTGAGCGATGACGCTGGTGATAACGCAGTGGCGTGGCAACGATTCTTGCCTACGGGTCCGGTGGCACTGCTACCGCTTAGCGAAAAGGAAAGTTCCCTGGTGTGGAGCACGACGGTGTCGCATGCCAAGGAGTTGCAGGCAATGCCTCCAGAGCAATTTGTGGAAGTTCTAAACGAAGCTTTCTGCCGGCAGTATCCGCGTGTTGATCTAGCAGATAAGGCAGTCCAGGCACTGAACGCTTTCTTTGGCCACACCTCGGCTCAGCACCATCGTCAATATCCGCCACGTGTGTGCAATGTGAAGGAGCGATCTCGTGCCACCTTTCCATTGGGTTTTCTGCACGCCTCCTCATATGTTTGCCGAGGTGCTGCCTTAGTTGGCGATGCAGCGCATCGTGTGCATCCACTGGCCGGTCAGGGTGTCAATTTGGGTTTTAGTGACGTTCGCTATCTGGTAGAATCGTTAGCTTCCGGCGCATATGCAGGCTTTAAGTTAGGCGACAAACAACATTTGGTTAAGTACGAGCAAAAATGTTTAACAAAGAATGTGCCTATTATGATTGGAGTTCATGGTCTACACACGCTTTACTCCACTGACTTCAGTCCAGTGGTGCTGCTTCGGAGTTTGGGTCTACAACTAACTCAGAATCTTCCACCCATTAAGAATTTGTTTATGAAGCAAGCCATGGGCTAAATATTAAGTGGGATTGGTCAGAGCAGCTTAGCTTAAGTATGTTCAAGTATAGTTCACGAATAAAGTTTTCTTACATTCTAAAATACGTGTTGAATTTGACTCACATTTGTTTACATAGCCCGACTTGAAGTTCATATATAAAATTTCCATGAGGCAACGCACAATTTTATCCCGGGCTTTAATGTGCTCCTTGAAGTGAACATAACGGAAAAGCAGTTTCAGATCATCACAGATTGTTAGAAAATTCATCCACAGCGAATTAGCGAACACCTCACGGTCTACATTTTGCTCTAGCAATTTAAAAACCTTCAAGCAGTGTTCAATCACGTCTTCTTCGAAAACTCCATAGGTTTTCGCGCCTGGTATAGTGAGCGTGAGAAAATACGTGCTAATTGCATTCAGCGACAATTGTACATTTGTGTGCCAATTCAGTTTTAAAGCGGGCGCTGCTTGACGCACATGCTCGGGCAACGGATTGGCAAGACAAGAAACCGCATATATATAGGCCAAATACGCATTTGCAGGAGCAGCATTAATTATGTTCGCCCAATTGTCGTAGGTGTTGTCGTAGCCTGGTTGATCTTCCGTACGCATAGAGCGTATAACGCTCGCTAATTCGCGGAGAGTCTGCAGCTGTTCCTCCTCCCGATTGTTAATCAGAGACCAAAAATTTTGGGCGCGCTGCTGCCACACTTCATTGCTGCATTCCTCCCCATCACCATAAAGCCACTGCTCCACATCAACCCAGTTAAGATTGAGCCGAAAATGCGTTTTTAATTCACAAAACAGCCTAGTGAGCTCGGACATATTAACATTACTCTCCGAAATTTAACAACTTTTTTTTTTTTTTTTTTTTTTTTTGATTTAGGTTACTTTGCACAGTTTAATGCAAAGAATTATTTGGCCGTCCACGTTGGTTACGAGGAAAACGCCATCACCAATTGTGTTTTTAGTGCGATGTTAGCATTTAAATATTAGACTTAATTGTGTTTAGAAATTGTGTGATTGATTTGTATGAGCTGGTATTTTCGTTAGCAAAAAAGTTATAAATGCTGTTGTACTTTAGCAGTGTTGGGAATTGCTGTCTTGTAGTGGTATATTTTATACAGCTGAAGATTATATGCGAGGCGTTTTCCACCACTTCACATGCGTCACATGTGTTGCAGTTTATCACCTTCATTTTGGCTAGTGTTGCTTTATCAAAACAGTGGCCTGATAAGAGTCTGTTTATTTGTTTACATTCTGCGCTTGAGAGCTCGCCTTTATATTGATGAAACCAAGGTATTTTCACGAGGCTGGGGAAAAGTGCGGTGTAACCTCTATTTCTGTTGGCTGCGAAGTTCCAGTATTCTGTTTCCCATTGGTTTTGGATTAGTTTGCGGATTGAGTTGATAGCGTCGTTGATTGACCATCTCATTATTATAAATGATCCATGAAAGGGGGCCACTTTTGCGGCGGCATCTACCAAAGAGTTTTGGGGAATGTCTTTATGACCAGGTATGTAGTGGATCTCAACGGAGCGGATTTGATTATTCTCTTTTATTTTCAGTAGGATGGTTTTGGCAATGTAGCTGGGTTGAATGGATTTCTGAAGGGCCTGAATGCCGCTGCGGCTGTCTGTAAGGATGGCTATATTTGAATAATTGTGAGATATGGCATGATCTAAGGCTTTGTCTATTGCAATCAGTTCTGCAGTGAGCGACGATGTAATTTTGTTGGTATAGAAACTGTCGATGAACTTGGAGTTATTGTGGAGGAATGCAGCGCTGGAGTGAGTATTAGTTACTGAACCGTCTGTGAAGAAAACTTCAAAATTCCTTTTTTGGAGGCCTTCTAGTTTTTCTTGGAATAGCTGATGGATTATGTTCGGATTCGCTTGATGTTTGTTTGTTGCCGATCCTTTAAAGAAGTTTGTGTCCGTGCAGAGCTTGAAGCAGTAGATATATGTGTTGTCGTGGAGTTGGATATGGTTTAGAATATGTGAAAATTCGTTGTATATTTTTGCATAGTTTGTATTGCATGATGAATTGTGAAGTAAAGTTTTGCTAGCCGGTAAATTGTACGCGAAGACTTTGACCAGTTCTTTGGCTGTTAAGAATTTCATTCTGTATTTTGGGGGCAGCTCTGCTGCTAGGTGGTAGATGATATTGATTGGAGTTGATTTAATCAACCCCAGTGCTCTTCTTAGATGAAAGTTCGTGTGTACGGCGATCTTGTCTGTAGCTTTTTTCGAGAGGTTGCTGAAGGATGAGCAAGCGTATTCCAACTTTGATCTTATGAATGTTCTGTAAAAGAGCAGGCCGCGTTTGGGATTCACCCCAAATTGGCATCCGTTCAACAACCTTAGAAAGGCGCATGACTTGTTGGAGTTTGAGATGACTTGAGTTATGTGGGAAATTGGGGAATTGTTTGCTGAAACGAATCTTCCCAAGTATTTTATTTGGTGAACTTCTTTTAAAGGTTCTCCTGCGTGTGAGATGTTTAAAAGATGTCTGCGAGAGTTGAAGTGTATGATGTTGGATTTGTTTGGGTTAAATGAGAGGTTAATTTTTTTGCATTCCTGTACAAAGGTTGAGATTTTTTCCTCTAAGAGATTTCGTGCTACGATGAAGTTCGGGTGGAAGCATAGGAGAAAGAAGTCGTCAGCAAATTGAAATAAAATGCAGTTTGAATCTGTTATTCTGTGCAGGTCCTTTGTGTAGAGGTTGAAAAGAGTTGGACTGAGACAGCTGCCTTGACTGACTCCTCTGTTGATTGTAGTGCTGCTGTCACCAAGAATTAAAATTCTTTTTTGAAGGAACCCTATGATCCAGGCTGTAATGTGAGGATTGAAGTTCATTTTTTGCAATTTATTGGATAGAATGGAGATATCCACGCAGTCAAATGCCTTCTGAAGATCAACGCATGCAGCCACCACTTGGTAACCTTTTTGTTTGAGGTCTGATGTTATGTTTATTAGGTCGTTAATGCATTGTGATGTTGAGTGGTTTTTTCGGAAGGCGTAGGATCTTTTAGGGAAAAGGTTCAATGAGTTAATGTGTTCGTCTATTTGGAACTTTATAAGTCCTTCCAGTGACTTTAGGAGAACGCTGAGTAGGCAAATGGGTCTATAATTTTTGACGCTTGATTGGTCCAAGCTTTTCTTCGGGATTGGTACTATTTTGATTTTTCTCCATTCCTCTGGAATATCACCCTTCAGCCATGTTTTGTTTATAATGTTGAATATATCTTTCTTTTTTTCGGAGGTTAGAGATTGAAGAAGTTTGTAGGACACCCCATCCAGGCCTTTTGCGGATTCTGGATTTTTATTGTTTAGGAAAAAAAGGAAGTCTTCAAAAAGCAGGGGAGTGGGAGGGGTCTCGCTCAGATGGAGATTTGCTGGATTAAACTGTGTAGTGTTGCTTGTGATAGTTGGAATATTTTTCAAAAGCTTGAGGAAAGATTCGTTATCATCTTTGGACCAGCTGTTACCAACTTTCTTGATTTGTTTGTAGCTTTTCAGGTTTTTTAGTTTATTCCACATAATCTGTGGAGAATCAGAGAGCTCTTGAAGGAAGTTGCTGAAATTTTTCTTTTTACAGATATTTATATGTTTCTCCAGGTTTTTTTCTGCTTCGATAAGAAGTCTGGCGTCGGTGAACTTTTTAGTTAAATAAAATTTTTTCCTGCAAGCATTTCTGATTCTGAAGAGTTTTTCGGCCTCTGGGTTCCACCATTTTTTTGGGGTATATCTATTGTTAGTTGGAATTGTGATGGTATTTTGAATTTGTATTTTTTTTAAATCTGAATGTAGTTTGTTGAGATTGGAGAAGTTAAGTTGTCCAAAGTCCTTGGATAATTTATTGTATAGAGTTTTTTTGGTTAGAACGTTGATATGAGTAGAATTAATTTCAATGAGTATTGGGAAGTGATTGCTATTCGTTAGTTTGTTATTGGAGGTTTGCCAGGAAATATGTAGATTTGCAGCGTTGGAGAAAGTGAGGTCAAGGAAGGAAAACTGTACTGGGCTATGTGAGTAGGTGGGTGATCCGTCATTTAAGCATATGAATTTGTTGTCAATCATGGCTCTTTCTATTGTATGACCTTTGGCGTCTGTGGATGAAGTTCCCCATATGGTAGATTTAGCATTAAAGTCTCCTCCTATTATTGATGGATGTGTTAGAGAGGCGCTTATAGCAAATAGTTCTTTTATACCAGTTTTGAAGGTGATGAGATTAGTGGAAGGGGGGGAATAGGCACTGAAAATGTTGATGTTGTTGGAGAGGTTTAAAGTTTGAATTCCTATTGCTTCTATTGAACATTTGAGATTTAGCAGTTTAAATTTAATATGTTTTTTAATGTATATACCAACTCCTCCGTATCCATCATCTCGTGTCTTACAGAAAAAGTTAAAATCGGCCAAACTGCTGGATGAATTATCTTTAATCCAAATTTCTGATAAGATCGCTATGTCAATGTTGTTGTTAACGAGATACATTTCCAGAATATTTTTATTGTTTTTACTTATTAAACTTTGAATATTTAATTGTAAGATTTTCATGGTGTATTTGTGGTTGAGAATGGAAGTATTTGGTCGTTTATTTTGGCTGCATCTATTTTTGCGTTAGCGTAATTGAGTTGATCTCTTAATTTTAACAGAAAGGTTTTGGTGTCGGCCTCTTCGAAATTGTTATTTTGTTTGCCGATGAATGCCGAAAGTTGAAGTAACACCTGTGTTAGTTCTTTCTCGGCAATTTGTTCGGGATATTTTATGGGGATGAAAGCGTTTTCTTGCAGTTGAAAAGTATTTTCTGTGATAGTTTGCCTCCATTCATTCATGGTGGCAAGAGCTTTTTCGTTTTCCCTAATTTTGTTTTTATTGTTTTTTACAGTATTGGCGAAGGAAGTGAGGGAGTGGATTTCTCTGGCAGCCTCTTTGTTGCTGTCATAAGTATTAGTTACAATTGAGTTGGACCATATAGGTTTGGGAAAGGCCTGTTCATTTAGGTGGTCGGGAGCTTCTTTATGAAAAAGGGATGGATATTTAGCACGCACTTCTTGTCTTGATAGATTTTCTAGTGCCATACATTTTTGGATGGCAAATGCCTTCTTTCTGGCTGGGCAGCTGGTATGGATTGCAGTGTGTTCCCCCTTGCAGTTGCAGCATCTTGTGTCAGTACATACAATGTCCTTGCCGTGGCTTTCTCCACACTTAATACACTTTGCTTGGCTGCATTTGCAGTGCTGTGCAAAGTGGCCAAATCTGAAGCAGCGGTAGCATTGTGAGAAAGGAATGAAGGGGTGTACTTTGACTTTGGTGTACATAAAACTTATTTCATTCGGAATTTGATTTCCTAGAAAGAAGAGTTTCACTCTGTTTGTGGGGACGAGAAGTTCTTTGTTGTCTTTGTCTTTTCTCATTATTCTGAAAATTTCAATAATTTGGATGGGCGAAGAGATAAATTCTTTTAGGTCGACATCATTGAAATTAGTAGGGACTCCAAAAATTAACCCTGCTTTACAGATAAAATGTTTGAAAATTTTTGGATCATAGCCTTCTGCTCTTAAGCGAACGTCTTTTTGAAGGGCGTTTGCACCTTCTGCAGAGCTACACGTGATTTTGCATCTGCCAAATCCTATTTTACTGATATCGACAATTCCATTAAGATTAAGTTTATGTATAACTGCCGATAAGCTGATAGCATTTATCGGTGCCCTTTCCGTGCCCGTTTGACGTTTGTCAACATAGACTATGAAAGCACCTTTATGTGCTGAGTCATATTCATACCTGACAATAGGATTTTGAGATTTTTCTTGATTCATTGATTCATTTTCTTGACTATTTTCCTCAATTACCTCCATGCTTAATTGTTTGGTCGGTTCGATACTTTTAATTGACTTCTTAAGTTCGTTGATAGAAGGATAATTTGCCTGTTTGGATAAGCCTAGTGGTTTGGTAGTGATTTTGTATTTGCTGACGCCCCCGGGAGGGGGGCGCTTGGTTGCCATTTTTCTTTTTAACTTGTTTCTTGATTCCGTGATTTTCAATTTTTGACTTCGGGATGGAAAATTCAAAATTGGAAGGAGAAAGAAAGAAAGAAAAAAAAAAAAAAAAAAAGAGATGTCAAAAGTGACGGTTGAATGGGGTAAGCAGTCTTTTTTTTCCAAATTACGACCTCTCGGCTCGGATGATGAAAAGCGACTGAATTTAACAACTTGTTGTCATTAAAAAAGTATACACATACATACATATATCAACTGCACAGCTGTTTTTCTTCTTGCTTGCGATTGTAATGCCGACTATCGATATTTGTTTTGGAAATTAAAAAAAATAATTTTAAAGAAAAATGAATAACTAGCTTGAGACAGCATGAGTTGTAAACTCCAAATGGTTGTAAGAACACAAAATATACTTTCAGAATTAACAGTTACTGAGAAGAAGAACAACGCAAACCCATTCTACAAACTATCTTCTTTTTTTATCGAAGTGCCATCACTATTGTTTATGGAACTATCCCCAAACACAACCAAGCTTAGCTTACACACACAGCAGACAGCTGTTGGCAAATTGTTTTGTGAAAAACAAAATATTTGAAAGAACACAGAAACTGGAATAGCACATAGATGGCCGATCCGTCACCTCCGCAGCTCAATGAGCAATTGGACAATGAAGAAGTACGAGAAATACTAAAGAACACGACAGATTTGCGCATTTTTATTTTGCAAATCGAAAAGGAGTTTAAGGAGGTGGAAAACAAGTCAATAGAGGATTACATAGCTGAATCTCAGAATATAGCCAATCTGCACAATCAGATCAACGAGTGTGACGATGTGCTGCTGCGCATGGAAAACATGTTGATGAGTTTTCAGAGTGTCCTAAACAACATAAGCACGGAAATTACACAACTACAGCGAAAGTCGGTATCCATGTCCCTACAGCTGACGAACCGCCAGTCGGTTAAGGCGCAGCTCTCTCAGTTCATTGAAGATATGGCTATGTCGGAGGATATGATAAATATAATCTTGGAAACACCGGTGACAGAGCGCGACTTTATCACACAGTTAAATGTCCTCAACCACAAGCTCCAACTGGTCAAGGAGCTCAGCTTTAAAGAATCCAAGTCGACAGGTGATGTGAGCGATGTGCTGCACAAGTTGCGGCTCAAGGCCATGTCTAAAATACGCACCTACTTGCTGGAACAAATTTACAAATTCCGGAAGCCCATGACCAACTATCAAATACCGCAGAACGCAATGTTAAAGCACAAATTTTTCTTTGAATTCATACTGTCCAATGAGCGACATGTGGCTCAAGAGATATGCAGCGAGTATATAGATACCATGAGCAAAATATATTATAGTTACTTTAAGGTAAGAATACATATGATGGTTTAGGAAGCTTTTAAAACTCTCAAACTTATCAGAGCTATTCTACACGATTGATGAGCCTGAAATTCGAGGAATCTTGTACCAAGGATGATCTAATGGGAATAGAAGATAACGCGTCGAAGGGCTTGTTCACCAAAACGACCAGTTTAAAACACAAAAGCACAATATTTACCATTGGAAAACGTGGTGACATACTTAACCAACAGCTAGAGGCGCCCATTATAGTGCCGCATGCCCAGCTTAAGAATCGCGTAAGTTTGCGTTAAAAAAGAAACAATATATTCTATAAATGTTTTCTATTATTCCAGTACACATTCGAGGCTCTATTTCGCTCTGAACAATATGCATTAGTGGACAATGCCTGTCGCGAGTACCTGTTTGTGACGGAATTTTTCATGGTGCGTGGAACACAGGCACAGGATTTGTTTAATCAGATAATGGGGAAGACGTTGACTTTGATGATTGTAAGCGTGGTTCTTGTAGGTGCTCTCCTGCATCGATCTTTAACATTTCCTATTTTACAGAAAAATCTGGAAACATCCATACAGGATTGCTATGATACAATTGCTATGTTCCTATGCATACAACTGATTTTTCGGTATCAGCTGATGTGCCATAAACGCTGTGTGCCTGCCTTGGATAAGTAAGTCGTGTGGAAGTCTTAACATCATTTTACCGACTGTTTTGTCCAACAGATATTGGGACTCCCTACAGACGGCCATCTGGCCACGATTCGAGTACGTTTTTCGAATGAACATCCAAAGCATTCACGACTGTGATCCCAGCAAATTTAACAAGGAAATGGGACCACATTATGTAAGTGGTGTTCAAGCAATTCAATTAAATATTGTACATTTTGCTCCAATGCTTGGCTCAATTTTGCAGATAACGCGGCGCTATGCTGAGTTTTCCTCCGCTGTTGTGGGCATTTCAGAACATTTTCCGAATGAGCTTGTCAGTCGCCTGTTATTGGAACTACAAAATGAAGTGGAATGTTTTATACTACGTATGGCAGCAATTTTTCCCACGCGGAAGGAACAACTGATCTATCTGATCAACAACTATGACCTTGTACTGGGTGTGCTAATGGAGCACACACGTGACAATTCCAAAGAAGCTGAAGCCTTTCGTGAACAGTTAAATGCGCGCAGTGGCGAATATGTAGAAGAGATCCTGGCACCGCATTTTGGTGGCATCATACAGTTTGTTAAGGAGTGTGAGCACTATTTCGAGAAGGAACAAATGGATGAGCTGCGGAAACAGGAACGACGTAGCTTGGCTTTAGTTGCCAGTTTTTCGGCGAACTGGAAGAAGTCACTTGAGGAACTCAATCGCGAAGTGTTGTTGCTATTCCCATCTCTGGTTACGGGCTCCCAGCTCTTACAATTGGCATTGACGAGTCTTGTGCAATATTACCATCGTTTTAACAAACTTTTGACACCTAACGCCCGCGCTCAGTTGACGAACATCCATGTGGTTATGGTGGAAATAAAGAAATACAAGACCAACTTCTGAAGGGGGCTCCAATTAATTAATAATGCATTATGTATATGTATATGAGAGAAAATATATTGCATGTAACATTTTTAAAGAAACGAAACAATCTTTTGTGTGTATATTAAATGTGTATATTATCCGCCACCGCTAGCAGGATGCATTTATTTAAGTTTAGTCCTCGTCCTCAAACATCATTTCGACGAGATCCTTATTCGAGCAACGCTCGCCATCCAAACGTTGTGGAGACTTCCAGCGTAGCAGAGTCGGCAAGAAAATCAAGTGTGTATTGGGATCCTTGCGAAATGGACAATTTAAATCTTTCCAGCTAAAATCGGAAATAAGTGGGCGTGACATTAAAATTACAACGTTCTCGAAAAGCTTATCGCTGTTTAAAGAAAGATACAATTAAAACCAAATAACTGCTTTTTTCTGCTAGCGAGATAAGCCAGTCGCGGTTATCTTGCATGATTTGTGGTATTTTAAAAAATGTGCATTGACTCTGCCTATTCTACTTAGTCATCACAACTTACTAGCTTCGTTCTCCCACATCAACATGAACAAAGTGTGAATTGTCTGGGGCCTTCTTTAGCGCATCGGATATCACTGGTTCGGCTGTGGGCGGTATGGTGTAATTAAAACCGCAAGTAATTATAACCTGTCGCTCATTGTCGCATAACTACAAAACTTACCCTTGACGCAATACGGGCACCAGCTCTCACCGTTTTCGTCCTTTCCACCACTAAAAAGTACGTGAACCTGAGCCGAGCCGTTGCCCTCAAGTTCCTCCATTTTTTTGGAGAACTCATCATAGCCCTTCACATTGTGTTTAACAACCATTGTTTGGTTTATTATTTTAACACTCGCGTAGTTGCGTGTGAGTAGGATACGTGTAAAGCGTTTGAGGAACGACGTGTTTGGTTTTTCTTATATGAACTCGCCTAGCGATGGCACCAAACCGATGTCAAACCAATTTGCCGGCCAATGTCCGACAAACGATAATGTGTGCAATGGTATTGAAGCAAAAGGTTGATATCTGAAAAACTTGCGATATCCCCTAAACTGCTGGAGTTTCTGTTGGTCTGAGCTTCTGGATTATACTGTTTGTCAGACTTCAATAGACAAATTTATAAAGGGCAACTTCCATGTAGTGGCAACGCCAAAAAAGTTATGGGAAATTATCGTGAGGAAATTAGTACGCCGGCGGCCGGCACAGATGGCAGCTCTTTTAGTACTCAAAGGGGCAGATTTTTTAAATAACCATTTGACCCTTCTCGCGAAAGGCCACTGTACTTGAGTGGTGGTATTCAAAGCTGCAAGTTTTAAACGTAGGTTCGTCATAAAATGAAGGCGCATTATGTGACGTCACGAATAACGAACCTGCAGAATGCATACATATTGCTTGCAGTCATGAATATATAATTTTTTTAACGTAAATCATAACTGACTTGTGTTTGGGAGGAGTTGTAAGCAAGTATTGGTTAGTTCTAAATCAAATGTAAACACCAATCAGGAATATCCTTAGATATTGTCAATAATTCCGTTGGTTCTAAAGTAGAGGTCCGGCAACTTTGTCATATCAGAAACAGCTGATTAGTTTTTGTTTTCCTGTGTTTTTATTGTATGTATTTATTTTATTAATATAATTCGCATTTAAATCATGTCGCAATTGACATTGTTGCGTTATATGGTGGTACAGAAACAGCAGCACCTGCTGCTGCCTGCTGTAACGCGCCTCAAATATATTGCTGAAATGCACTTGAGCTCAAAACTTGCTCAGGAAGCGGCGCCTCGAGGTTTGTATTTCGATATCGGCCGTGTATTTTATATGTTGTTCAACCAAGGTGTTTTTCTGTAGGAAGTGGCAGTGCCTTGCAGGAATCACGGGGAGGCGGTGGCGATGTTTCCACCGATGTGCGCCCCATTGGCGAGAAGATTAAGGAAAATACAAAGACCGCAAGTTACGGAGCTTTAATTGCAGCCGGATTAGGCGTGACGGGATTTATGTTGTTTGCAATTTTTCGCGAGCTCTTCTCCAGCACAAGTCCAAATAATATCTATGCGGACGCACTGGAGCGCGTAGTGGAAGATCCACGTGTGCAGGATGCCATAGGATCGCCTATTAAGGGTTTTGGAGAGACTTCGCGCCGGGGACGTAGGCAGCATGTGGCCCATATCAGTTTTGAGCGCAATGGTGTGCCACACATGCGTATGCAGTTCTATGTGCAGGGATTACGCAACAAGGCTACTGTGCACCTGGAATCACGAAACGTAAGTTCCACATATATCCTATACATATATATGTAGAAAAGGTAATTAGATCTTGTTGTAGACCCCTTCGGGCAAGCTGGAATATCGCTATTTGCTCGTGCAATTGGATCACTATCCGCGCACCACCATCGTCCTAGAGGATAATCGTGCAAACGATATTGTGCCGCCATCGTCAGGGTCGCCAGACGCTACATCTCCATTTGGAAACTTGGAACTCATGTCAAATAATCGCGATAAATAAGCGGTTAAGGCCCACACACACATGAACTCAAATTATTTGTATAGTTGATTATTTAGTTTATTCTTTGACTGAACACGACGCCTTGTTGGAATTTGTTGTATCTTGATTTGTTGCTCTCTCTTACTCGCCGATTGAAAAGTTGTCCATTTCCAAAATGGCGCCAGACTCGTGTCAGTATAGCTTTTTCCAAGGTATAACCTCCCAAGAGCGTATAATGTGCCGGCCGAATAGAAAATCCTTCAGTTTGTTCATGACATAGAATGATATACCAAAGAAGGAGGCAAAGTATAACCAGAATTGGCCTAAACGTTCCCAAATGCTTAGATGATACCGTGCCGGCACTTGGAAAACATCCAACTCCAGTTCAATATTGAGGCCGGGATCCAAATGTGCGGCAGTGGGATAAAAATACGATTCCTGTATAGCCAACTGAAAGTAGGCAGGATTGGCCTTGACTTGTGAGAGCAGAGATTCCATCTTGTATTGTTCTATATTCGGGTAGCTGTTGTTGGGGTCCAGTTGAATTTGTCGAAAATGCGTCTTGATGTTGCGACCCGGAAAAGGGCACGTGAACTCCACGTGCTGCTTTAGTTGCAGCTCGCCCTTCAGTTGAATGCTCCCCATTTGCATATGTGGCGCCTGTGGGAGGATCAACTGATGGGCCAGAACAGCGGGAGGTGAAAGGGGGCACTTGTGCTGTAGCTGTGCCTCAAAGAAGAGGATCAGATCGAAACGGAGCAGTCGCGCGGGCAGATGATTGAGCTGCAGTTGAAAGTGCGCGCGGTCTGTGATGGTGTCATGATCCAAGTCTTCCGTCCAGTACTGTAAAAAGGCAGGCTGTTTATAACAATATTTTTGTAACACAGTGCACACTCACCTTGCTAGCCTCGCAGCTGTTTGTGTAAAGCTGCAGTCGTGCATTTAAATTTCCAAAGCTGCTGCAGGATACTAATGTCTCGGCAGGTTCATTGTCACCTGTCGGCTCAGTGCTTGCCACAAAAATATACTGATAGGTAAACTGCAGCTGCGGCTGTTCATACAACACCCGGGATTCGGATATGCCTGAGTAAGGACTGAGCAAGGAAACCAATAAAACTGGCAGCATAACGGATAGTGTGATGAAAAATAGCACCATTAACGTGGCCATTGAGAAAAGGGAATTCTTATAGACAATAGCGGTGTTTGTCGTGTGAAGAGGTATGAATTTCATGTTTAAAGTTTACCTTAAAAAATAATATACGTTAGAAAACAATTAAAACATAATGCATATACTTACGTAAACAAGGACAAAATGGGGGAAAGTGAACTCTCAGAATTAATCCAAATTACGGTAAATTACTTTATAAATAAATGGATGAACATTTGTGTTTGAAATTTCTATGTATCAAATTGATTTTATGTTGTGCTTTTTATTTGAGATTTCCAAAGCGTTGGCTAGGTAACGAAATGTAACAGACCCATCTAGTGTTCACAATTGATAAGTGAAAAAGCGCCATCTAAGTTTCATTCGTTTGTATTGAATTTGTGTTAACTACGACGCACGTCAACAAAACAAGAATACTAGAAATGTGTTGAGTATGTATTGTGCTTTCGTTTTAAATGTAAATATTTATAGTACATACATATGTATATGCACGTATGTATGTATGTAACCTGCATTAATTTGGTTATTATGATCCGTCCTCCTTCATACAATGCTATTTAAAATGAAATGGAAATAATATTCAAATCCATTGTCCTGTAAATGAAATTTCACCCACCTATTAAATCAAGTTATTATTAGGAACAAACAAATTATATTTACATATTGAAAATCTTGATTTAAGTTTTCTGACAGACAACTGTGGATATTCAAAAGTTGTTAAGCCTTCCAAATGCACCTCTTGTCTTTCAAATTCAACAGACTACGTCCACTATTGAATGTGCCACGATTATTCGTAGTGTGGCTGCTTTGGTATTCAAATATTTCAACCTCTTGAAGTTCTTCGGCTTCAATGATCTTTGCTTTTTCACCATTTATTATCAACCCTGATTTCTTCGATTCTAACACTAGTGCCTTTTGTTGAATATCTTGCTGTCGGTTTTTTCAATACTGCCACATCACTTGCGTACTAGATATATGCACGTATATATTGTAATCATTGCCCTAACTTGTCAAAAACGAAACCGATAACATGTATTTAATTAACTATTCTAACACACGCCTATCGAAATAATACTGTGATCACTTGCGCTGATCACTACCGTTCCGTGTGCCTAATAAGCAAAGGTTAATACTTTCATGGTTATACTTGTAGGTCGTGGTCGTACCGTCTACATTTACTAACAAAGCATTTTTAAAAACATATTTTGCATTTATTGGCAACTTCATCAGATATGAAAATAATATTCTGAATATTCAATTTAGACCCAATCTATTTTATATTTTCGTTTCGTCATTCTTATCATATATATACAAGTATGCAGCTATAACTTGTGGTACCATTCTTCCTTCTGGGTATTACAAACTTACAAATCACAAATAAATACACACAAAAGCCCCGGACAATATATATAATAAATAAATTTGTACCATGCGACTGTAAAAAAGGTATTTTAGGTTAGTAACTGGCAGAAGGAGGCATCTTCGATCCATAGAGTGTATATATACTCTATATTCTTAATCAGCATAACGAGACAAATCGATATAGCCCACGTCCTTCTGCCTGGATGAACGCCTGGAATATGGAGATAGCTGAGTCCACATTCACCAAACTTGGTATACTCATATATGTTAATAAGGGGTTCTTCTTCTTCTTTTTTCTTTTGCGGAAGTTTGTTTGGGTCGTACGGGGTAATTCAGTGTCGGGTTTGCTCCACTGTGTGTTCTCTTTTGTTGATAAAACTTTTCAATACACAGGTCAAAATTTTAAATCGTCCACCTGGGACGGAAATCAACTTTGGGTTATATTTTGAAGAGGAAATAGATAATTAACGGAATGTATATATTTCAGCAATTCACGATGTTTGATCTTTGAAATTGCATTGAAAATTGTTCAATATATTATACCGTTTACCTACAATTGGCGTTTGAATAATTAAAGTCAAATTTGACAACCCAAAAATAAATCGACTGTGTATTCTATTTTGTTGATAAAATTTTACCATACATATAACTGAGTGACGAATAAGGAAACTTTTGGTGAAAGTAAGACTCACAAAATTTCTTATATCAATGTTGTTTCGAAAGGGCTAAGTCTAAGTCTATTCCTACGAATCCACTATTTAAAAATAATTATATCTATTCAATAATTTCATTTTTCTTTTGAATAATGCTCTTATCAATGTATATTTTTGATGCACATAAGTTATTTACATAAAATCGAATAAAATAAACCCATAAACAAAAAAATTTTTTCGGTATAAATATTAAATAATTAAATATGAAACAAAAAGAAAACTATATGTTTATTAACAGCAGCAAATTTCATTTGTTTTGGCATCTTAAAAACAGTAATGCATTTTTTTCTCCATTCTTGTTATAAACTCATATTTGGGGTATAAAATAAATCATGATTCACTGCTTTTGCTTTCAACACTCTTCTTTAAAATAAGCGTCTTAAATTTAAAGCTGTAACTTCCGATTTTAGGGATTATGCTCACATGTCGTCAAGTTATGCATCTGGTATTTATTATTCTTTTTTGTAGTCGAGCTTTTCAAGTTCTTTTTTGCAAAGTTTTCTTTACACTTTTTGTGGGTTGCATATTCATTGAAATCCCATAATTATGTGCAATCAATACTTTTTGCGAAGCGGATGCGCTTAGGCTGCTGAGTGGTGATTGTTTACATATACAAACATACATACATACATACATTTGTGTGCGTGTGACTGAGCGCGCAATTGAGAAGTTGAGCTTCTGTGAAGGGAATGGGTCATGTAGCGATTGAAAGGCTTGCATTTCTGCAGGGTATTCGTAAGCAAATGGTTGGTCCCTTGAAACGGATGCAGCGACTGCTTAGATGCGTACTTCTAGATCGCTTTCCTGCTTAAGCAACTTTTGAGAATTGAGGAAATAAGGATGAAGTGGGGTCGCGAATATCTTGTTTATTTTAAGAAGGGGCTTTTATTTCATTTGGCACATTCAAATAATGGGGGCATTTGAATAAGAAAAAGACATTCTTCTAAGAAGATAAATCCTCCAAATTTCTATCAAATAATATCGTTGCAGTCTACACATAATATAATATTAGGTTAATGGTTTTTGTGACAAATAATTTTTCTGAGCCGAGTACAGATTATGCAAGAAGCTGCAGACTCTATTGTTGAACTCAAAAAATTTAAATAAAAATAGACACAGAATTATTAAGTTAAATTACGAATTGAATGACTTTCTCTATAATTACAAGATCGAAAAAGCTATATAATAAGATCGTTTCCATCCCACCACGCGCTGGAGCTTTCGCCACTACATGGACTATAATCAGTCCATTGTGATATTGATTTGTTTTAAGGTGTTGGTGGTTCAGAGGTAAAAACTAGTATACCCTTTTACCCTTTGGGTACAATAAAAAATGTAGCACATCGAGACCTTGGGTTCACATGTTCTGATACTCTTATAGGTATTTGCTCTTTTGCAGTTTAAATACATATTGTATTTGATCGAGTTAAAATGAGGGCTAATGTGAGAGACCGTTGAAAAGGTGGCTCGCTAATAAATAACTATTAGCCAGTAGAATATAATTCCTATTGAAGATCAAGGATTGCGATTGAAACTATGGATTTTAAATAGTTAATGAAGTTGCAGTCTTAAATAATTGATTATTATAGTTTGGTAAAAAAATATGTCAGTTCATTTGTCTGTTTTTTTAGGCCCAAACTTGTCATATGCAATTTGAATAATGTATGTACATGTACTGAAAAATTATTTGTATGCCCTTCTGCGTCATATTCATGTCAACTTCGAGTTTGCTCAAATGTTGAAGCTTAGTTAGACACCTTCCTTTTTTCCTGCCTTGTATATTTTATTCTCCTGCTGTGGGGCTTGTCATTCAGTTTTATATGATTGATACTCGTGTTTTTCTGATTTGTTCTCTGACTTTGTTGGCATGTAAAAAACCACAAAACAATTGCTAAGAAATAGTTGTTGGGTGGCAGGCATTTCTGTAACTAATGAATAAATAAATGCTACCACAGATTGACAGTTACATTTGTTGAGATTGTTGCTATTATTTGTTATGGTCTGCGCTTAGATATTTGGATAGTTTACTTCCCGCTATCATCTATGGCTGCTTAAATATGCCACGTGGAAACCTAAAATGCTGCACTTTAAAAAGGCGTCGCTCCGAAAGAGCTTAAGAGGAAAATCGATACATTTGCCTGCATTTATTTTGCCGCATGATTTTTTCCCTTCTAGCTCGCTGCCTTTTGTGTCTCGTTTGAGTCAGCAACAACAACAACAGGCACATTTCCACGCCATTTTAAAAGTGGCTACACCCAAGATGGCGCACACAGCAGTGTGTCTGTGTGTGTGTGTGTGTGTGTGTGAGGGAGTGTGGGTGTTTTCGTATTTGAAATTCTGTGCACAATGCCAGCACCAATGCTCCTTATATTTCCTTTTTGCCACAAATTTCAGCTTTCACTCGCATGCCAAAGCGCGCACAAACACACACACACACACACTCAAATTACATACACACACATACATACACGTGCACCCGAGGAAGTGACAGTGTTGCCGCAAAGGAGCTGTTGAAGTGGCAAATTTTCAGAAGCGACCTACAGCGAGAAGAGTTTCCATGGGCTTGTTGAGTGAGGGTTGGGAGGGGGTCCAGAAAGAGGGTTTATGGCGCGCCAGGTGTGGTTGAGCCTGTTGGTCTGTGGGTGGACTGGCAAAAAAGGAGCAGTTTATTAGGCGCACCAAATTAACAAGGAACTACTAATGACTATCCAGGGTGGGGCGAAAAAAGTGCCACCTTCTCACCGCCTTCCCAGGCCTCCCACTCAACATTTCGTTATACGTGGCTTGCCCCTTCTCACCCCTTCCTGGTGCAGACGTTTACAACGCTTGCGCAAATTTATATTTGTGCTTTTTTCTTTCACCATGGCTCAAAAGAATGCTTCTGACAACAAATCAACCCTCCAGCCGGTTGTGCTTTTTTGGATGCTGGAAAAAAGGGGAAACTTTTGGCCGTGTCTGATTTTTCTCGGCACTAGCTTTTCCACTTCAGCTCTGCATTCCCCAAGGAAATCAAAGAAAAACGTATGGCGCTGTTGCAGTAGCTTTAATATTTATACATAAAGAGTTCTATGCCTGGTATATAGAATATTCCCCTTACACCACTCAAGTGCGAAAGGCTTACACACACACGTTGAATGTTAAAGGAGAAATTCTGCTCACTATATTTGAAAATCAAGCCGCAAG